GAAAGGAATTCACCTGGTTCGTCTTAAAACCCGGGGTCGTAAGTTCATACAGCGGCGGCATTTGTTTGTTACTAAACTCAGTGGGTAAGTAGGAGGTCTTGTCACAGTATCTCGTTCAGATTACTTTAGTGGCAAATCATAGTGTCTCGTTCAGACTACTTTTGTGTCATCAAAAAAGGTACATCGTTTATGATGTGGGGGGGGGCCTATCTCGCTTACAAGAACAGTGTTGTTGGACAGAACAGTGTTGTTGGACAAGAATAGAGCATGCCGTAGACCGTAGACTACTTTAGATTCTTTAGTCAAGATAATAAAACACAAAAACAATTATCTACTGCTCATATATTCCCCGTGCTTTTTACATGCTTTTCTGGATGGAACGTTCTTTGAAAGTGGCAACTTTAAGGGTATTGCAAACCTATACTGAAAGTACTGCGTGTTACAATGCAAAGTGGCCACGTGCTTCATTCGGAGACTTCTGGACAAATTACTGTACTAATTTTTGGTGGGGGCGTTTGCGTCGCTCTCTGCTTGTGTCTATTCTTCCAAGCCCCTTTCTCGTTTAGTTATTCAAAAAAAACCACCATCAACCGTCAACGAAATAATTCCAAACTGACTCCCAGCAACGACCCAAGACTTCCACGCTCCAAACAATCGAAATTCAACAAAAAATGATCACGATCCAAACACATGTGAAGGGCCGAAAAAGACATAGGATCATATAGGATCATCTACCCGAGACGACAAATCGATCAAAGAGTCAAGAAGATACCAACAACGACAAACAAGTTCAACAAGGGTGAGAAGGAACAAGACGTGCCAACGTTAAAAGGATAATAACAACAAGGGAAGCACAAGCAGAAAAAAGGTGACGCACGACACGGACTTGAGCTGGCAAAACTGCAAGTAAGAAAACGTTTAAACAAAACGCACACACACACAAGAGGGTGAAGCAAAAGCAGCCATTTTCCCCCCATGACAAACAGGTGGTTTTGAAGCCGTTGGCCGGTTGGTCGTTGGCATAAATATACTCTATCTAGGAACTGTTTCGACCATGCGAAAGGCTCTTTTGCGTCATACTAGTAGCTTCCCGCCGCTTTGTAGCTAACATCACGCTCTTACTAGCTACCTTACCTACTTCTCCCCCTTCACGGTCTTACATTGCTGTGAAACAAGCTTCATCGAGCTTCTTTTGTCATCCGCGCAGGGTGGATCCTTGGGATCACCTTGACACAGCTGAGTGGTGCCGCAGTCAACTTTAGACGAAATTGCTGCTTTCACGATACAATCAAGAGATGCTTTGATGGACACTTAACTTATATAACTATCACGCGTGTGACAAAAAAGAAGTGTGCTTCTTGAGGAGCATAGCACCTGGCACTGGATCTTATGTGTCCGGTAGCCCCTAACTTGCTTGGAGATGAACTCAGAATAGGTGGGACGACCTACCAACTTTCGAACGCAGGGCTAAAGATGGTCTGGAGCAAAGGGGGTCCTATGAGGCCATGTACTCCAACATATTGCAGGTTCAACTTCAGCATCTGCGTTCAAGTGAAACTAAATGCATGCAAAAGCGGCCTGGCTGGAAAAGCCAAGAGTCAAGGCCCCTCTCTGCCAAAATTGACGAATTGGTATGAATTGACTATATTCGCATGCCCTGTCAGCTGTCTTCTCATTCACTCTACGGCTTCTTCGTCCTCGCTGTCCTAAGCATGAGCTCCCAAGCAGTGTTCCGGCATGCTGGCTAGCAGTCGCTCCTTTGACTCAATAGGCTCTAGTCATGCCTTGAGCGTCGCTTCTGTGGTGCCAAGATCAGAAACAATCACGAGCAACTCCAAGGGACGTCTGTGTTTAAGTGAGGGCCATCAAGCCTCTCTTGACAACTGACGAATAGAAAGCATGATTGTCTTACCCCAAGTTCATCCGTTCAGAAACATTTGATTCTTAAGCAACACTATATTACCTGAAACATTGTTCTAGATTTGAAGCACCATTGACTCGCCTTTCAGAACCCTGGACCCGAGAAGTCTTATGGCTCGGCTTGCTGTCCTGGGATCTCCACGGCATTTTGCCTACGAGCCTCCAGCGTCCAAGGCAGTTCAGCTACGGAAAGCAACGCCTTCCAAGGCACTGTCTCCAGCATGGCAAGAATATCTTCCGCATCATCCAGCTCGAGCTCTTCTGGCTCCTGGGAGTGATCTGGATCCTGTGTTTACAGAGTCGAATATACCAACATGGCGATAGTTGATCCAATGATTGGCCATTCTTAATTTTTCACAACAAAAAAAACAACAGCATCTGTCCAAAGAACATGTCTCTAGTTGGTCTGTGCTGGAGGGGCACCTTGAATAGACCATGCCATAAGAATCTACTTTTGCAAACTTCTTCGTGGATCTTTCACGAAGGGGTCAAACACTACATTAAAAGAAACTAAGGTAATTCTTTACAAACGACCAATCAGGGACCTCTAGTAAATCAACTCCTGTATATTTTGCGCAGCAAAGTGATGTGTCACTCCGGACATGCAGAATACACCGAACTTCACAGTATCTTAAGAGTCTCAAACCAAAGATGTGAGCTTTGTAGCTCTCTGTGACTTTAGAAATTACAGTATATCGGCAACCACTGGTGATACCTGAAACAACCACAGCCACTGATAGTGGATCTGCAGCAAGATGACAAGTTGGGTTGAACCTACAGGAACTAGATCCACGAAGGGGTCGTACTGTAGCCTTGGTGGGGGTCCCGATAAGCCGCACCGCTGCTCATGCTGACTACAACATATTATAACCAACAAAATTGAAATGTACATTCTATTCTATTGTTCTTGGCAGATTCTACTTGGGAATGTACATGCATGTACATGAATGATAGAATGGCAGCTCCTCTTGCTTCACCGGGACTTTTGTGTTTGCCTTGGTCCACACATGAAAACTAAGACTAGGAAGAGAGGTGCAAAAAGTAGTGTGGTGTGGGATAACCAAGACAAGCAATCCTGTCATTTTGAAGGACTCTGCTATACTCAGTACTCTACACTCTACACACTCTTACTTTGATCGTCAAACCCTCTCCTCTCATCAACATTGTAAAACGTGTGGTTCTTCTTGAATTGGTCAAACCAGTGCTGCTGAGGTGCAAGTGCCCTCCAGCGCAAAACTTCAGCCTGTGAATCTCAGACCACTCTACATATAACTATATACTATATAATATATAAATATGTTTCAATTATTGAGGTTTCAACTTTCAACTGAAATTTGAAAGACCCAATTGGTACTTCAGTCGCTCAAAACCACAAGGCTTGTAATTTAATTGCTTTCCCAAGTTCCTTCCTTCAATCGTTGCACCCTACCGAAAGGCTGCCAACACAATGCCCAGGTCCTCTACCCCATCCTCGAAGACTATTCCAGGAAAACTTCAGGACACTGTACCACCATTCGCTGGGCATGTGGGCCACAGCAAGATTTTGAACTGCTGTCAGGCTGCGAGTAGCAGGTATTGTATGCTTGCAGACTGTCTGTCAGTCGCTCACCCAGATCATGACCACCCAAAAGCGGGGGCTCAGCCTTTGACAAATTCGGACTCCAAATAATAAGACATGCAAGTGGTCTGATTGGGGCCGAAATCCAAACTTCTCACATAGACTTGAGGCCAGGGGTTGGTGACGAAAGCTAGCTGCATCTACTGTAATCGCGTGGCCTTGAAATGGGGATGCGCGGCATGATGTGAAACGTCATGGTAGTAACAAGAAGCTAGTAGTAACAGGTGCCACGCTAGTAGTAACAAGATGTAACAAGTGCCTTACTACAGTAGTAGTAACAAAAAGCTATTAGAAACAAGTGCTTTACTACTAGTAACAATAAGAATTGTAATTACTAGCAAAGGAATCTACTAGCTTCTTGTTACTACTAGTAAGGCACTTGCTCCTAGTAGCGATGCACTTGTTACTAGTTGCGCGGCATGATGTGAAACGTCCCAAAACGGAATCAGAACTAAGCTCCCAAATCTGACGCGTCCAAGAGGGGAGTTGAACCCGCGGAAGGGGGGTCTAGCAGTGGACAATTCACTGGGTAGCCGATTCCATCTCCCGGCCAATAACTTGCTCAAGCAAGCGTAACTCCAGCTAGCTGAAGGACTCCGGGTTTTTCACCTTCTCTCAAGACTGTGGGCAACGGGCAAATCTTGTGGGTATCAGACGTGCTCTTTTGCATACCGAGCGTTTGCTTTGCAGTTACTGCGCTGTGGATGATCGTGCAATCTAAGGATCTACAGAGAAGATTGATGTGTTCAGTTCGTAACATCTAAGGATTTGTACTGTGAATTTTGAGGAAGATGTCTGCCTCAAGAAGTCGGCAAAGTATTTTGTTGTAGTCACGCATTTGTTGATCATGGTCAGCCGTGGCCATTGCAGGCAGCTCTAATTTATATATAAATATATACTACAACCAGTTTGTTGGATCCTACCCATCTCAGAAGACCCTTAACAAATCCACTCAAAGATAACGTCTAGTGGTCTAGTGCAGCTCCACTTGAGACAAACGCCTCGCCTCGAAGACATCAGCGACTCGGCGACACTGTTCCTGCAACACATTTCACATAGAAAAGATCAACAGTTTCAAGGGTGAAAGGAAAAAAGAACGGTCAGAACGGGCTCAAGGAAAAAGAAAGATCAGGAAACACAACAAAACAACAAATGAAGCATGATGACGAGCTGAGGACATCAAGCCTCATCTTCTGGAGTGCCATCGAAGACCCAAATCTTGCCTCCGACCTACAAATCAAGTTGTTACATTTCATCATATTACGTATCATATCGTGCGGAACAACATGCTCAAGCAAAATCCAAGCAAATTCGGTACAGTACCGTGGCAAAATGCAAGCTAGCATGCAGTCAGTGTGTGTGTGCTCATTTTTTGCCATTGTGCATCAGTGCAAGGTCACCACCACCACCACCAGCACCACCAGCAGCATCATCATCATCACCATCATGATAATGTCTTGTCTGGAAGCACTGGGAATTTCTACTTTGGGGTAAACTGGGAGTGACTCGAAACTAGTTTCCCCGACACCTGGTGGAACAAATGACTTACAAAGAGCGCCTTTTTATTGACATGACATGACCCAAGGATAGACCCAAGCTTTGAATAAAGCCTTGTCATGCATTCTGAATTTGTTTTAGTAAGGCTTTCCATGGCTTCGATGCTTGGGGTTCACTCTGGGTCTCTGACAGCTCTGCGATGCTGCAGTACGAGCTTTCGACTGTCCTGTCGGAAGACCTGCAGGGACGCAGCAGAAATAGTACGGAGCACGGAAATCTCACGGCACTAACTCACACTAACTATCGCTAGCTGACGGCATGCTACATGCTGTCTGAAGCCACTAGTGACATTTCAATGCTATGGCACACGACATGTACACAGCGCTTCACACAGAGATGGGGAGGCTCTTTTTGTATTCTGCATTCTGCAAACACATATATAAATATCATATATACATGTCACATATTTAAGATACAAGCTTTTGTGTCTAGTTCAATCGTCCTTTTTCGGGATCGCTGAAACCCGGTTAGAAGACTCGAAACGAAACCACGCACAGTTGCATGACCCCATGTAGGGATGGAAGGAAACAATTTTTCAAAATTTAATGCTTGCTACGACTCCATCACTAAATTTATCCCACGAATCAGTGCCTCTGCCGCGCCCGGGTGTGCGCGGACTCCAGTCTCCGAGATCTCACACATGAGCCTTAAGAAACTGAGACCAAACGTTTTGGACATGTGTGAGGTCCCCTCTATGTTGCATCAACAGTCCGTCAACTCAAGCAGCATTGGATGTCTCCACAACATGCGCTGTTTAAGTTAAGTTGTAAAATATGGTAAAATCTTAGTTGCGGTTGCACCCACAACAAGAAGCTACTAGGGGCTCCTGGCCTTACTACTAGGAGCAAGGACGCTACTAGGGGCTCCTGGCATCGCTACTAGGAACAAGAAGCTACTAGTAGCTCACCTACAACATCCAACCTGAGAAGGGAGGCACTAATCCACCCAACCATTTGTCCAACAAACCATCCATCGACCTGTCGACACTCTACACACATCTATCAATCCACATCCACTTTCCATGCTAGAAACACGTGCATCGCTACTAGTAACAAGTGCCTTACTAGTAGTAACAAGAAGCTACTAGTAGTACATCCAAAGAGAAAACAATACGGAAAGATCTCTATCTACTATTCCTCTCTCTATCTCTCTATCCCTCCATCTCTCTGTCTCTCCATCTCGCTATCTCTCAAACTCTCTCTCCCCTTTTTTCCAGCAACCCATCCACCCACCAATTACTAGCCATGCCATGCATTGATGCCATCCATTGATCTATGCACACTCTACAAACATCCATCTGTCCACATCTACTTTTCACATCTACTTAATGATCTCTCTATCTCTCTGTGTCTCTCACGCTCTCTCACCTTCTATCCCCCATCCATCCAGCTAGCCATCCATTGGACAAGCCATCGACCTACCTGCAAGCGCACTGAAAATGCAAATGATGCAAGCCATCAATCCTGTGCATCCTCGACATCACGAAAACCCAACAATTGACACTTTTTGACTCTCCGGCACCTCTTTTCCCGCACCACCTTACTCCTCACTAGCCTATCGGCTTTCATGACAAGATAAATGTCGAAATCATTTACCGTCAACTGGCTGGGGGCACGCCTATTTTGGAAGAACGAGTCTTAGTTCCTTTGAGAATTTGACTCCTTGGTTAATAAAGCCTTCGCAGCTTTTACTCCTCATTTTGGGCACACGGCTCAAGGAAAGGAAGCAGTTCGATGCGATCCTCACCAATCACTGCCTGACGAGGCGCTTTGTCCAAACCTCCAGCTGCTTTTCTTGGATTTAGAATCTTGAACATGAAATAAAACTATACATACGGTTACTCTGATGATAGGCATTACCATAGTTACTATAGTTGAAGGGAGAAATCGCAAACAGTGAGTATTGCTGGAACCAGATGGAACCAGGAACCAAGGACTAGGACAAATTGCCGCCACCTCATAGTACCTGTATTGCAACAGTATGCAACAGCACTACCACAATACACTGTGTCGAAGCCGACCCTTACTGCCTGTATGCAAGTGCAAGGTCTTTACCTGAAAAGGGTTCTCCCATATGGAGCATATCTCAGCATTTAATTATATTTAATTTAAACATGCGCCCGTTTTCATTGTCTCCAGGCAATCTTTCCATTGGCACGGACATCGCAAGTTTGTTGGAGAAATGGGTTTGGATGTTCTTTGGGAATGTGTTGATTGAGGTTTGGGATTGGTTGGATCTACTGCTGGGCTAGATCTTGCAGTGTTTTGCAATGTTTTGGCATGGGAAGCTCTCATTTACTGTGTTTGCAAGGGTGAGAATAGGATTGGATAGGTGGGGCGGGTGGCCATGGTCATAGGGTTTGTTTAGCTTGTTGTGGCTGTGTGTGCACACTGCAGAGTTTAACAGGCAGTGTTGCTCAACAAAGCAGTTTGACTTTGCGGCAGGCAGTGAGCTGAGTAAACAACGTGACAATGTGCAGACTTCGTGGTGAGGGAGGGAGTTGGGGGCAGGGAGCGCGGCCTCCCTCCAAAGCGTGGAAATCACTGAGTTTCTGCCCCTTTTCTTGTGTCCTTTTTTTGTCGTTTCCTTTGCATGCTCCATTGCTCCCTCTTCCTTCCATGCTTGCTGCTCGCTCTCTTTCTTGCTGCCTTGATTCCTTGCTTGCTGCCTCTTCCTTGATCTGTTTGTTTTTACTTTGCAGAGAAAAGACATGCGACTGGCGAGTGTAACCATGCGCCTCTGAAGATGCTATCAGCCTCAAGGTACCAGTACTCAGCTGGATGGCAAACAATTTTACAGTGTTGTGCCACCGATGAACTTGTTGTGAGAAAGACGACAATGTTGTGACAACGATGACAATGTCGCGCCTTACGGAGCACTGCTGGCTACACAAACAAAACAACATGTGAATACGTTCTCCCCTTATGAGGTCCAACCGTTCGCACCTGAAACAAGCAAAGAAGCGAAGGTAAGCAACTGGAAGGAGCCCCTAGTGGCGTCCTTGCTCCTAAAGGGGCGGAAGAGCGGACAAGCAGAAAAGCAAATGAGCCACGGTCAAAACATGCGAAGACCACTTTCGTAAAGAGGGGTAGGTTTGTGCACAAAACCCTGCAAAACGATAAGGTCCACCTCAAAACCGGTAACCCCAGCGCTGTATGTGATCATACCTATGCGACGAACTCAAAACACTGTATAACGATAAGGTCGAACTCGAAACCGACGACGTCCACTTTTTAGTTGAAGAAGAATAAGAAGTTTTGACCGTCCCTCAAATATACAACCAAAAAAGGCCGAGAAGCAGAAAAAGTGAGAAAAAGTGGAGAAGCAGAAAAGCAGAAGAGCAAAGAAGCAGAAAGGTAGAGAAGTAAAAAAGCAAAGAAGCAGAAAAGCAATGGTGCAAGAAACGAAGGAACAAAAAAAAACAAAGACCGAAATCTAAACAAAACATAACAAAACACATTCCTGGAAGAAAGTTGCCTTCCTGGAGCATTTGTTTGACTTTTCCCTCTGAAGGCGTCTTGCTCGGATCGAAACGTTCACTTCAACACTTGGAGGCTTCTCCATGGACTGGGTAGGCAAGAGGTGATTTAATGCACATGGACGTTGCTTTCAACATACTCTAAACTTCTGAGAATGGTCAGGATTGAGTCAGACTGGACGGAACAACATGGTTGATTTTTCTTCTGGGCCTTCACTGTTTCCACATCCACGATGTTCTCCTTCCGGTCCTTGGCCGTGAGGAGGTAGCTTAAGAAGTAGCAAATGAGTGTCTTTAAGCAAGCAAATGTAATGTAAGTAGCAAGTAATTAATTAAGTAACTTTAAGTAGTTTCTAGATCTTCTAGTAAGTCTACTAGTAACAAGTAGGTCAGCTACTACCGTGCTCTAGTAACTCTAGTAGTCTAGTAGAGTCCAGGCGCAACCAGGCTAGGACCTTTAGGATGCAGAAGGGCTTGGGCTTATTGGTTAGCTGGGTGCGAAGTAGCTGGGTGCATGGATCCTTCCGTTCCCATCAAAACAGCCTGCAGCACAGAACTGCGTTGGTCAACAAAGACACACATGCCAAGGCTCATCAGTCTCCTCTTCCCCACCAGCAATGTCCTTTTGTTTCAACACGTGCCAGGAGCAGCACAAGGTCCATTTATGAAAGTACCCTCCACATCGTTCCTCAATGACTTTGTTTCTCGCGTCTTTGTTTGGGCACTCTCCTCCGGAGCGCAGGATCCAACACCATTTTCGTCAAGACGGCGGAAAAGGGCCTCCAGTTGGAATGCATCTGAGCAGCCTGCTGCACTGCTTGTACTCTTTGCATTCCAAGATTTGCTTAATGTAAATATATTATGTATGTGCATATATATATATATATATTGTATCCAATAACATAGCTGCAAGCATAGTCTTTTGGCTGCATGTTTCGATGCCAACAGAATTGAATAGTTGAATATAGCTTCTTTGCACACCACAGGTCCCTGGTGAACATCCTGGCCTCTATTCCCCCCGCCTCCAAGATGCGCCGATCGTGAGGATCCATGAGTCTTGGGGTCGGCTGCCGAAACTTCTCCAGCTCAGATTCAAAGATCTGAACAGCAAGGCTGGCAGCTGGCAATTGTGCCAACACGGACTCAAGGCTGTAAAAGGACTGCAAGTGTTCATCGCATTGGCGTTCACTGCATCCAGTGGCGTGTCTGAGTGGCGTGTCTGAATTTGACTTTTCGGGTCTTCACGTTGTCTATAAATTTTGAGCTACGATCATTGTTTAGAGTGTTTAAGACTGTTTAAGAGGGAACCGGTTGGGTGGAGTGCCCGGATCATAATATAGTTTTGAATCATGGGCCGAATTTATTGGTGACACATTGTGTAGTGCGGGTGGGCAACTTTCGCAGCAAGCCTTTGTCAAAGAGTCAGAATGACATGTATATATATATATATTTATTTATACTACTATATTATCATATAATTGATATATTTACCACAAACAATAAGTAACTTTGAACTCAACTTGGTTCTCGCAGATATCAGTTGTTCCATCAAAGGTGTGATCATTGCAAACAAGGCGGCTGGTCTATGAACCACCAATGATCTTGTATCGCCAACATACTGTGAAAGAATGGACCGCGAGATCAAAGGTTGCTGGAGGGGTGCTGGGGAAACTAATTCAACAAAAAATCAATTTATGTACAGTCACAAAGTACCTACCACCTACAGTACCTGGGCTACCTGCGTCTTTTCTTGAGGAATTGCGTCAGTAAATTTTCGTTATTTGTATTCTCGGCAATTCTCATGCAAATTCCGACGCCCCACAGGGGATCGGACCCATTGCATCATGTCTGCAATGCGATCCTCTTTCACATCTGGCCTTGGATTCCATGCGTGAAAGCGCAGTCCAACAGTCTAAGAAACCAACAACAAATTGATCCGTTGATTCCTTGGGTTGAGTGGTTGCATTCCATACCTACATAAGCGCCCAAAAGCACATGTCTGGCTTGTGGGAGTAGACGCTCCTGGCAAGAAAAACTAGCTGACAACAGAAATCCTAATTGCTTGCCAAGTGCTTAGGGAAGCCGCCACTTTAAAGAAGCACTGTATCATAATCCGCTGCGTGGGGATGTTCGCGGACCTCATTGTGTTTCTGAGTCTTCCCTCTTCATCCCTCTTGCGGGTGCAAACCTTCCCTATCCAAGCACGCTCCACTTTTTGGAAGGACCACAAATGGCAGAGGTACTGCAGGGCTGGCAGGTCAGCACCTGCAGCAGGGCCCCTTATAACTCCACTAGAGGACCAACAACTGGGGCTGCTTGAAAGCAGAGGGCATCGACTATGCCACATGTCATTGAAACTAGGGAGGAAGGGTGGGACAAATAGATCAGCGATCTATGTCCAACCACTACTACAACCTCAACCCAGCAAGCAGCTGCCACTCTTGCCCTCTAGTCACTGATGCGGTTTCTTCTTGTCGCACACTGCAGAGTGATGATCGGGTGGCCCACACCCAGCACACCTGCGCTTGAATTTGCATTGGCGAAGGCTGCACTCACCCTCCGCTTCTCTGCAGGTGCTACAGGGCGACTTGAGTCCGAGGGCCGTTTGCGCCTCCTTTGAGGCTCACAACCTGCCGGCTTCTCCACCTTGGTCGTGGCATGAGTAATGAGCGCGGCATGTCACGGTCAATGATTGCTGTGCTCATTGGTCGGCATCCTCCGCTTCCTGCGCGGTGCAAAAACGGAAATGAGCACCATGCTCGTTGTTGCAAATGTTCATGAACCGGGAGCTGTGCAGGGCCCAGCTGCCTAGATGCCCAGAACCAACCATGGCAATAGGCATGCGGCCGCACTTGCAAAAGCTGCATGATGGGTAAGGAGCATTGGAGATATCCCGATCCAGGAAGTCTTCTTGACAGTTTGCTTCCAAAATAGATCTTGCGATCTATGTCCAACCACCACTACAACCTCAACACAGCAAGCAGCTGCCACTCTTGCTGCAATCACCATGCTTGGAGGTGAGGGCTTGAATGTTCACCTAAAGGTGAACTGGTCCAAAGGTGTTTGGCCCGACATCTGGCATGCCATGTCCAGTCAAGAGTAGTATGTCCTTTCACTTAATCTCTTGTCTATTCAAGCGCAGTCCGTTCCACACTCGGCCATGACCACAAATGTTCGCTGATGCTTGCAGTGGTCAGTTGGCTCGAGGTTTAGGCATCGTTCCAATTGTAGAACTACCCAAAAAAGAAGCTTCACTATGCCAAGAAAGATGTGCCAAGTGGCCAGGTCCATTGGATCATCATGGACAAATCCACGCCCTCCTGTCTTTGCCGGGGTGTTGCCTGAAGAAGAGCGAGACCGCCCTGATCCACGACTGCCATCATTGCTCACAAGTTCTACTGCTCAAGAAAAAGGACATGATTGAACAGGATTCTAGGGGCTACGCATCGCACATACCCAAAAACAGCATTGGTGTGGTTGTCGCCTCTCAGGGCGCCTACCACCTCTCCAGCCTTCGGTAAACTTTTGCTCCTAGTCTAGTAGCTTCTAGATACTAGTAGTAATGGCCTCCAACCTACTGGCGATCGCCTCCAACCTGATAGCTTCTAACCTAGCTACTCGTAGTGATGCCCCTGCAAAAATCATGGCCGCTCTTTACTAAGTTAGTCATCGCTGGTTATGGCTGTGCTCATGCGTGTGTTCTAGCCCCAGTACTCTCGAGCGACTATTGGCAATGTAGGGAATGGGGAACATGACGTTGCAGTAGGATTGCAACTTCTTGACGCAGGTCGCAGGAGAGAGCAGCACGTGACCAGTTGCCGCAAAACGACTTGCTACACCTTGCCGGGTTTTAGCAGGAAAGAAACAGCAGGATTGGTTGCAGGAAACCTTGAAGTCCCAAGGCCACACCATCCTCCCAAGGCCAGAACACACCTGCTTCTTCCTCCACAGGTGAAGGGCACGATTGAGAGCCGCTGTCACTGAGCGATACCTCTGTCCGACCGATACATGCCAATGGGTCACGATGCGCACCATACATCTTATTTAACATTTCAAGCATAAGATTGTATCAAATCATATCAAATAAATAGATAAAGATAACATATGTATATATATATTAAATATTAATAAATATTATGTATATGTATCTGTATCACTGTATCACAATATGACTAACTCGGGCGCACAATGGGCCGACTCTATAATTCTGACTCACTGAATTTGTGATGATGTCATCTCTCTTCCCCTCAATCCAGTGGCCATTCTATCAGGTGCTGAAACAATTTTTGGTGCCGATGGTACAAGTAAGGAAACCAGGACTGACTCAAGTATGTGAGGGCTTCAATTCCGTGCATGTCCATAACCTTCCCTTGCTCTTGGAGGTCGCAAGTTCTGTTTGTTGAACTAACAGCGGGCCCCAGCCCAGCAAAATCCATGGGGCTTTGCCTGAAGTCCGCGGCCAAATCCTCCATGTGCTGCGCCCAACCCAGGACCGTGTGCCAGGTAATCCGCGCAAGCTCCTGCGGCTGACTTCAGGCACACGTCAGTTTGACCAACCCACAAATGGGTTGCCAGCACACTCAGTGTGGCTTCCATTTTTCAACAAATCAGGACGCACCAGGACGCTGTGGTCTTGCTTGACCCAGGTCCATTTTGGTGGAGATTGCCTTTGCGCAGGGCGTTTTGCAAGAAAAATCTACCACAATGCAGTTTCCTCTAGCAAGTCCTAAGCCATTTCCGACCCGTTCACGGCTGGAAACCAGCTTCCTTTCAAAAGGATTCAAAAGGTATATAAGGGTGTGACGTCCATTACTGGGTCCACTACCCTAGGTCGAGGTGAACAGCATGGGGGTCTTTGAAAGCGTATGAAACCATGGGGGTCTTTGTTCCTAGTAGCGATGCCGCTCCTAGGAGAAATGCCCTTTGCTCCTAGTAGCGATGCCAGGAGCCCCTAGTAGCGTTCTTGTTCCCAGTTAGAATAGAAGCGCAATTGGGCTTTTGTTGTCCCTCTGATGATGATGTGCCTCCTTCTCAACCGTAAGATGTTCGTCACTTCCCTCCAAAGGGATGACTTTGGGGTAGATTCTGCCAGCTCAGATTGGAGGGTAAGGGATCAAAATAAAAATAAAAATAGAATCAAAAAAAATCAACGGGGATCAATAAAAAAATAAAAAGGTAATCAAAAAAAAAATATTCTAGCCCACTGAGGATGGTTGGGGTAGTAGAGGAGAGTGTACCTCCCCAGGAGCTCCCTCCTAGTAGGGAGCTATTTCCACTGGTGAACCACTTTTCGAGTAGGGCTACTCAATGACTGGACGGCAACCTTATCGTTGGGTACCTACTTTCTTCCCAGGGAGCTGCCTCTAGTAGAAAGCAATCAAGCCTCTATTTGCGCAAGCAGGGGACCAGGAGATCGACAGACGAGCGCCGTAGGAGAGCAAAAGACCAGCGGACCAGGAGACAGAAGGACTAGGATACCAGGGGACCAGCGGACCACAGGACCAGGAGACCGGAGGACTAGGGGACCAGTGGACTAAAGGACCAAGGGACCAGGGGACCAAAGGACCAGTGGACCAGAGGACCAAGGGACCAAAGGACCAAGGGACCACATTACCAGAGGACCCGCAGACCACAAGGCCAGGAGAGCAGCAGAAGAGGCCTATCAAAGAATATTTTTTTTTGATTCGCTTTTTATTTTTTTTGATCATGTTTTTTATTTTTTTTTGATGCTATTTTTATTTTTTTGTTGATACCTATGCCTTCTAGCACTTCAGTGGTAAGTCGTAACTATAAGGCTATGACATATGACTTGCACACTGCAAACAACTGTGGACCATTCGATGAACAGCTGGAATTCTCCAGGATGTGCACAGCCTTCAAGACTGTACTACCATGACTGAGCTCTTTGTGTCTTGGATTTGGATTGCGCCTGCCGTACAGAGTTTAACAAGCTCCTCATCTGCGGGAACTCTATCCTTTCGACTGTCCAGGAACTTCCATGCAGCACACCCAGCGGCGACCCACTCCTGACCAAAATTGATTCCATTCCGTCGCTGCCGACGGCGAGCCTCACAGGTCAAGGCTCGGAAATCAGTTCTCTAAGCGGTTTGATATGAAAACATGCCAAGTTGGCTGCACCTGCTTCACATTTGAGAGAGACTCCCTCGTAGCCACCTTACTTACCTCTTGCAAACTGGCAAATTCTGCCACAAATGATGCTGAGATGGCGCAAACAAACTATCTTTGCACCTATAGTAATGATGAAAGGCACACGAAGCAATCCTGTCTCTCGGAAATCAAAAACCAATCCTACTAAGTGCTACTATGTATCGAAGGTGCAGGATTCCTTCCTTCCGGAATGACCCTGCTGCCAGGACAACCTTAATTGCTGGGGAGCAGGCAGGAACTACAGTATTCTAGTCCTTCGCAACGCCAAAATCTTGGGACCAATCGGACCAATCTGCTTGATTCGTCTCAGGAGGACAACATCGCCAGCCAAGGCCAGGAGACACAACAAAATATGAGCAAACTCATGCCTCACCCTTTGAACCCTGAATAATTCCAGGCACATGAGATGAACCAGTCAGTGCCTCATTGAGGGACAATTTGGGATCGCATTCCCAAAGTCTCAACATCACATATTACATCATATTACTACTACTACTGTATCACGCTGCTCCATCCTTCTCCACAGGAAAAGTTCTCCTGCAAAACAATTGAAGGACAATGAGGACAGCGCTACGACCAGGAGAATATTAAGTTGGACAAAGCAACTGGCCATGGTCGGCTACATCACTGGCCTTCCCGGAGTCTCCCAGAGTCTTAAAAAAACACGCTAAATACGCTAAGGATTATAGTCTCCCAGAGTCTCCACCAGTCTACTCTTCTGGTCCAGCCTGCTCGCCGGCCTTCTTTGATGCCGAACTCAGAAAGGAGCGGCCCATCGGAGATAAGTTCCTCCCTTTCTGCTCCTCAAGGCAACTGGGCTGGGCAGGAAGACTTTGATATCCGACAATATCCTTAGTTTTTATGAATTGTGCTGAATGATCGCACCTTGTGCTGAATGATCGCACGCACTTCATTTTAATTCCTTCAAATGTATCTGTTCCTTGCGTGCATGTTAGAATGTCTGTGTGTAAGGGATCCTAAGATAACGCAAACCCCAAATCGCAAGATCACGCAGTGGTGGGATGATTGACGCACATCCTCGGTGCTCCCTTCGTTGTGAAAACATCCACCCTCATGGCCTTGTCAAGAGGCTTCTCAGGCGCCTCCGGCAAAGACTCGCCTGAAGGATCGACGCCTGGCCAGAGATCGCTGCCAAATAACCTCAAGCTGATAAATGGTTTCATCTATAGTATATATTTGTTAAATATGTTAAATATAGTATTAAAAACAATATAAACTCCCCGGCTCTGTTTCTCGATGCGCTCCGCCGTCCGCAAATGAGTCAGAAAATAATAGAATAGGTAGATAGTTGGAATCTCTCTCGGATTCCTACCCCCACGGGGTTTGACCATTGTTTAGGGCGCCGTGCACAATCTTTCCGCCAAACCAGGAAAGAAAGGTACCCCTCTGCCACCCCTTGGTGCCAACGCCAAACCGCAGGCACCAAGCGCAAGTGAAAAATAGATAGCGAAAGTCAGCGAAGAAAGAGACTCGCTCCAGCTCTACGGGCCGTTTAACATAGATATGGGTCCTCTCAGCGTCACTGGTTCACTGGTATTCCGTTGCCACTTATTAGTATCATAACGACCTACAGTCCCAACTGACCAGGCCGGAACAAGAATTTCCCATCCAACTCAGGAACAAAGCACCAGTGCAAAAGGGATCTTGTGTCTTGTTTTTTGGGGCCCGTGGCCCTGCCTCCTTACTAAATTGAGTAGGCGCCTACTTCATGAAGTAAAGGAGTAGCAAGCTCCTAGCTACTTAAGCCTTAAGCTTCGTAACTGGACTTAGGATAGCTCGCGCTTCTTCCAGGAAGCTCCACCCGCCGCTTCAAGAAGCGCTCGCACTAATGATTTGGTTCCAAGATTTTTCGGAAAATCGAGTCTTCGCTGAGCAGCCTAGCTTGCTGTGGAAACATGACCTCTACCCTCAGGCCGTCAGCACGAGCTTGCGCCTTCTGTCTGCAATAAATTGCAATACAAGCGGTAAACCTGACAGGAAACGGCTGAAGTGTAGAATTGTAGAAATGCACAAGGCACGCTTGGATGACCTTGGATGTCTCCATCATGCAACCTTGAGTTAACTTGAGGTTCAGCCCTCAAGGGCTTTCGTGCATGAAGCTTCTTGATTTTACATGTCTATATACAACATTACTTAGTAATATAATGTAATCAAAATTATGATCGCATATGATTATGTTGTTTCACTTTGTTTCTACAACAAGATGGAGCCCACGAACCCGAATGCAAACACGATGGAAAAACTAATATGTCCAAAGGACACTCTTGTAGGACACTCTTGTAGGGAACTCTTGTGGGACACTCTTGTAGGACACTCTTGTGGGACACTCTTATAGGACACTCTTGTGGGACACTCTTGTGGGATACTCCTGTAGGACACTCTTAAGGGACACTCTTGTGAGACACTCCAGTGGGACACTGTTGTGGGACAGTCTTGTAGGACACTCTTGTGGGACACTCTTGTAGGACACTCTTGTGGGACACTCTTCTGGGACACTCTTGTAGGACACTCTTGTGGGACACTCTTGTGGGTCACTCTTGCAGGAAACTCTTGTGGGACACTCTTGTAGGACACTCTTGTGGGACACTCTTATAGGACACTCTGGTGGAACACTCTTGTGGGACACTCTTGTAGGACACTCTTGTGGGACACTCTTGTAGGACACTCTTGTGGGACACTCTTGTGAGACACTCTTGTAGAACACTCTTGTGGGTCGCTTGCAGGACACTCTTGTGGGACACTCTTACACGACACTCTTGTAGGACACTCTTGTGGGACACTCTTGTAGGACACTCTTGTAGGAAACTCTTGTGGGACACTCTTGTGGGACACTCTTGTGGGACACTCTTATAGGACACTCTTGTGGGACACTCTTGTGGGACACTCTTGTGGGACACTCTTGCTGGACACTCTTGTGGGACACTCCTGTGGGACACTCTTGTAGGACACTCTTGTGGGATAATTCTGTAGGATATTGTTAAGGGACACTGTTGTGAGGCACTCTAGCGGGACACTGTTGTGGGACAGTCTTGTAGGACACTCTTGTGGGAGACTCTTGTGGGACACTCTTGTGGGTCACTCTTGCAGGAAACTCTTGTGATACACTCTTGTAGGACACTCTTGTGGGACACTCTGGTGGAACACTCTTGTGGGACACTCTTGTAGGACACTCTTGTGGGACACTCTTGTAGGACACTCTTGTGGGACACTCTTGTGAGAATCTCTTGTAGAACACTCTTGTGGGTTACTTGCAGGACACTCTTGTGGGACACTCTTACACGACACTCTTGTAGGACACTCTTGTGGGACGCTCTTGTAGGACACTCTTGTAGGAAACTCTTGTGGGACACTCTAGTGGGACACTCTTATAGGACACTGTTGTGGAACACTCTTGTGGGACAGCCTTGTAGGACACTCTTGTGGGACACTCTTGTAGGACACTCTTGTGGGACACTCTTCTGGGACACTCTTGTAGGACACTCTTGTAGGACACTCTTGTGGGACACTCTTGTGGGACACTCTTGTAGGACACTCTTGTGGGACACTTCTGGGACACTCTTGTGGGACACTCTGTGGGACACTCTTGTGGGACACTCTTGTGGGACACTCTTGTGGGCCACTCTTGTAGGATACTCTTGTGGGACAGTCTTGTAGGACACTCTTGTGGGACACTCTTGTGCGACACTCTTGTGGGGCACTCTTGTAGGACACTCTTGTGGGATACTCCTGTAGGACACTCTTAAGGGACACTCTTGTGAGACACTCTAGTGGGACACTGTTGCGGGACACTCTTGTGGGACTCTCTTCCAGCTCCCCAGATACTCCGCGTACTAAAGTTGTACTACAAAGTCGCCAGTGCTCGCCTGCATTTCGCGCGCTCGACACGCACGATCTCCGCAGAGGGTTGCGCGGGCACCGGACAAATCGCACTGTCGCCTGCATTTCGCGCACTCGACACGCACGATCTCCGCAGAGAGTTGCGCGCGCATGGGACAAATCGCACTCTCGCCTGCATTTCGCGCACTCGACACGCACGATCTCCGCAGAGGGTTGCGCGCGCATGGGACAAATCGCACTCTCGCCTGCATTTCGCACACTCGACACGCACGATCTCCGCAGAGGGTTGCGCGTCAAGTCTCCAAAACGAGCGTTTCATACGAGACTTCCTCAAAAACTCACACGTCAAAGTCTGCAAAACGAGCGTTTCGTACGAGACTTCCTCCAAAAGTCAAGCGGAAACACCCATCGGAGCACACACATCACGCAGACCTGCCAAGCAGTTTCGCGATTCAGCCCCTCCAAACAACGTCCGCTCACACGCCAATCCCAATGTGACAGCGGCATTCACCTCTACCACAACTCACAACCTCACGATTCCCTGCGCCTGCCACGAATCTTTCCCCATCCACACATCTAACGCGCGCAAAGTACTGCGCCTGCCACGAAATGTCACCTCCCTCACACCTCGCAACCTCACGATTCCCTGCGCCTGCCGCGAGAATCGCACTTCCACGCTTCAAAACCCGCACGAAGTCCTGCGCCTGCCACGAAAAGTGACAATATCATCGCGTGTGAGCTTCAACAAAATTTGCACCACACCACACGTTTGGAATGATTTCGACCCGTTCAGAGCACACTCCCATCCACCAAAATCGCCATTTCAGCTGAGACTTGTCACGAAAACCGAGCTTCGATGCCACACCCTGAAACGCAAATCCCCATGGCACGGCCACATCCAACACCCAAAAAAACACGAGTCTCCAAACGCTAATCCCAATGGAACTGCGCAGCAATCTGCGGATCTCACAAAACGCTGCGCCTGTGCAGCGAAATGCATCACGTTTCTTGCGCGACATGTCGGTGTCATGCAAATCACAATGGAATAGCGGCGCAAACTGACACGTGACACATCCATGAAAAGTCACTTGCAAAAGCTTCCCCCAATAGCAGCAAATTTGAGACGCGACGACGACGAGAGACGACGACACGACGCAAGCCATGCAAACACGGCTCCAACCCCCAGACCCCCAACTATAAACGGGAACCCTTCGCTACGCATTCGGGAAAAATGCCCTTCCCGCCTTCATGGTTTGTTCCCGCTCAGGATTCGCATAGCGCTTCATGGGCTCCTTGAGGCGCATGCTTCGAGGTACCTTTCGAGTGTCGGGGGGGCAGGGAGCATGCACCAGTGCAAATGTTGTCTGGCTTGAGGTTGAAGTCACAGAAGCAATGGCCATTCAATGATGCATAGCAACCAATTGGCACGTTTCCCGCCACTGAAACCTTTGTCTGGGTTTAAACACTCGTGAACATCAACTAGGCAACTGACATTCATCTTTGCCAGCGCAAGGCACCTGTGGTGCAGCTTCTCCAAGCAGGCAAACCTGGAAGCCTTCACACAAATCTCGCATGACCACCTGAGCAACAGGGACGTGAAAGTAGACACCGTTCATCTAAAACACTCTCTCATTCTGCTTGGGAATAGCTGTATGGGACATCTCCCACAGTCTTATTCTGCTTGACGGGAGCTCTCTGGGACATCTCCCACAGTCTCATTCTGCTTGGGGAGAGCTCTCTGGGACATCTTCCAAAGGGCTCTCCCCAAGCAAAATGAGACCACAAACACCTTTCATCTAACATTTTAGAGGTGTTTAGAGTAGTGTAGTCCTGGCTGGACACATGCATATATATATATATATACGTATTATACATTTCAAGGGTTTGCCAAGAGTCTAGAGCCAAGTCAGGGCACTCCTTGCCGCCATCCCTGTGATAACCATTCTGACAATGCTTTGAACAGGTTTGGAAGGCCGCCACTCGATCACAAGAGTCAAGCCTCAAAACGAAACGTTCTCGTCGTGGACCTTTCAATAGCATGTTCAGCCGTGGAAACAGCAAATGCGACCGCCTCCATGTGTTCAATCTTCTCTGCAGGCTTCTTCATCAAGGATGACAGGCCCTCAGAATGAAAGTCACAAGTTCTGCCTCTACAGGATCATAACAAAGTACAGCCTTCACTTGTTTGCTTCACCTGCAGCATGGCCACAGCTTTTTTTTTTGTGCCAAGAAATGCGACCTTCCTATCTGGGACCCCCGCATTGATATTTCTCCATTAGGACTCTAAAGACATGTCCCTAACTAAGCTTGTGACTCTGACCTCCTTCCTATGAACTTTGAAATGAACTTTTCAGAGGAAGTGCATCACGTCAACAAGCATTGTTTTAAGCAGTTCCGCACAATACACTTGTAAGGATTTCAGTTTGGCTTGGATACTGCAACACCGATAATATCATTTTCAAGAACAAGTTCATGCTATCAAAAAGGTTGCACAAACAAAGGTCCCTTCAAATGCAACAATCTTCGGCACGAAAAACCACTGGATTTCTGTGCAAGCTAAGGCCATCAATGGCAACTTTGAGCTCATCGTTGGGGGAAAAATAATTCAGAACCAGAAACCCTCCAGAGCATGCAGTCACTGGATGTCACTGGTCACAAGCTTTCCACATGAAGCGACCAGAGGTCCTGAGGTGGTCCCACACACTGGGAGGAACCCGAGGAAACCAAATGGCAGGTCCACCGACCCAGCTTGGCCCCCGTTCCAGCGAGTGTTGCGGAGATGGCCTGCCAAACACTACAGTCTCACTCCTGCGAATCCTTGCTGGCTACCTTGTTTTGGATGGTCTGTAATAATATGCAACAATAGGAGCAAGGACGCTACTAGGGGCTCCTGGCCTTACTACTAGTGGTTGGTTCTAATGAACACTGGATTCAATGCTCCAAGGTGGGACGACAACAGTATGCCGCATTGACATTGCTGAAACAAACTCTATGAAACTTGGGACTTCAAGCGGTTGCAGGTGGTCTATGGTGGCCCCTGCGCAGGCGCTGTCATCTGCAATCCTCTTCAATTGGTGTTTGAATGCTTGGAGCTTGCGGCTTCAACACCCATGGCCCATGGCTCCATTACTGGGTTTGAAGGCGGACAAAAGACCGTGCACAAACAATCTAGGAGCCCCACCCATCAGAGTGTACTTCTACGAACAGTGTTGCAGTGCTAGGGCAATCTGTATATTACTGACAAAGGTCAGGCTCTTCTGGAATGCTTGGTCTGGATGAATTCTATGACAATCAACTGATTCCGTAGATGCGAGCTCAGTACAGTTTCTATAATATAGATTTAAAAATTCCTTGCCAACTTCTGGTAAAGAAGTGCCCAAATCTCAAAAGCCTTCGTTCCGGCTTTGGCTTGGACGTGTCCTGAGCTCTTGAGGTGGAAGGTGGTACTCCACTTCTTGAACGATCAAAGGATCCACAGTGTGCAACGCATCTGCAATGCTGTGCGGCCGGGCAATACTTCCGCACCCTTGGAATGGACAGTGCACTCACTTTATTTGCCTGAAACACTTGCAACTTGGATGCAATGCCTCGACAAAGGTGGTTATACATCATGGCCCAAAACAAATGTCTTCCACACATTGTCCATGTTCAAATGCTCACAAACCACGAGCAATGATCAGTCATGGCAGGTGTTTTATTTATCATGGCGTGTCTCTTGCATCTTATATATACGTGGACCTGACATCAGAAACATCCAGAAACAACATTTACGATAGCCCGCCAGCCCATCTTACTGCTCCTAGAGGGAACACATGGAAAAACAATCCTACCTCCCTGCCACCACGTCCTGGCGGAAGGGCTCCGTTTCGTTCGGCGGAGGAAGGCTTGGCAGCCGTGAGCACATCTGACTGGTGGCCTTCCTTAGTCGGCCTACTGAGCAGCAACAATGTGCGGGGTTGTTGCAAAATGTTGCAAATCCCATTCGCAAATTCTAGAAGTACATGCATTCTATCAAGTCCATCAGCATATTATGGACCTTGAGGATGAACATGTTGAGGCCCCTGTTGTTCAACCTGACCCCTTCAAATAACATCACGTCTGTGCCTCTCTAGCCATAGAAACCAGTAACGAACACATGAAGAGCCAACCAATCTGCCAAACAGCGTCTGTTTGGTCCAAATTGTGAAGAAAGAATAACGATCAAAGATTCCTTCATCAAGTGCTTGGAGCCCATCTCAGGAAAAAGGTACTGTATGTGTCCTTCATTTCTGCCAAGAGCATGTTCACAGGACGAACATGCAATCGGCTGCAACCGCCTTTCTGAAATTGGGGTGAAGTAACAAAGGCTACGTTTTCAGCCTCATGGACAAATCTACGCTTTGACAGTGGCACCTCTGAGCCCCTGACGCTTGTGGGGTGCTCAGCCAGAAGCTTCGAGCGCTGTACCTCTTGCAAGTGCAAGAAATGTGCATGGAGTTTGCGCAGCATCCCCTTGCAGCGGATGAAGGCGCATTGTAGCAGTATCAAGGTAGTGTTTGCAACACGTGTATTTTGACATGTATACCCACTTGTGCACGCATGTGTATCCGCACGTGTGTGTGTGGCTTTGGAATGGCGGGAGCGTCACAGAGAGGTGTCCGAGTTGGAGACTTGCGAAGATATGTTCCAAATATATAGTGGGGATCATCAAAGCACAACAACTGTGGATCAGTTCTTATTTGTTTGCTTCCTTTCATGTCAATTTAGCACCGTGGCACCATTTGGATCACTTCACAATCTTTGTCAATGTCAACCAAAGGGTTGATCAACATGGATCAACATACACCCTGGAAGACTAACATGGACCGTGAAAACCACTGGTTGGTAAAGGAAAACAATCTTCCCGGGGGCCATTGTCAAGGTCTATGTTAGTTTTCGGGAATGTAAATTAGAGGCTGATGGCTGACTTGAAACCCAGGATCCAAAGAAGTTGGCCAAATGCCAACAGAAGAAAGCTAAGGTTGAGGCACATAGTTTAAAAAACACATGGTGGTATGCCCAGCACTTCCAGGCAAGACGGTGACAAAATGGTAAGATTGCTCATGAACTGAACGGACTGAATGGATGTGACCTTACCTCCCGCCTGTTCCTGCTTCCCCCACACTGCTACCCCAACATTTGTCCCTCTGAATGCACGCGGGCATTCCAAGGGAATTTGAAAGGGGCTTGGAACATCTGGATGTCGTTGATCTTTCACAGTAACGTGTTATATACAGTAACTGAAACACTGAAGTTTACCGTTCCCCGTTCCCCCTTGTTTCAGCCCAGCAAACTGCCAGGCCGACGAGCGCTAAAAAAGACCTTCCCTCATTCTCTAATGCACAAATGATAGCTACCTGAAAACAAATCAATTACTTTACTTATCTTTACTTCGAGTGTCCACACCCTGAAAGGCATTTTGTGCGGATTGACACGATGTTCTGACGCTTACTCTGGCACCAAGTCTGGTTTGTGCTCTGACACATCATCTATCATAAAGGCCGGGAAACGTTCTGAACTGTTTTCTGACATCTTTGTTGGCGTGTGTTCTGACATTTTTCCTGTCTGACATGTGCTGCGACACATGAACCAACTTCAGTCCCGGTACGTGTTCGGACATGTATTTAGGTATCAGTTCTGCCATCAAGAATATCCTGGCATTTTATCTGCCAAAAAAATCAGACATTCTGCCTGGCATATATTCTGAAGTTCTTTCTGGCGTTACTACAATAACTGCTTGAGCTTTATCTGGCATCATTGCTGGCACTCTATCGGGCATGTACTCTGACACTCTACTTGGCAAAAACTCTGGTACTCTATCTGGCGTACATTCTGACCTTCTATCTGGCGTGAGTGCTGACCTTCTATCTGGCATATATTCTGATATCTGGTTGATATTCTGACATTCTATCTGGCGAGTGCCCACTGCGATCTGGCGCTGGACGTTGAGGTCCGGCAGCTCCCACTGCGATCGGGAGCTGGCGGTTGAGGTCCGGCAGCGCCCACTCTGATCTGTTTGCTGTTGAGGTCCAGGAGTGCCCACTGCGATCATGCACATGCAGTTGAGGTATAGCTCATTGCGATCTGGAGCTGGCAGTTGAGGTGCAGTAGTCAAGAAGACCGAGGAGAGGAGAGGAGGAGGAGGAGGAGGAGCAGAAGAAGAAAAAGAAGAAGAGGAAGAGGAAGAGGAAGAGGAAGAGGAAGAGGAGAAGAGCTCTGATAAGATATAACATGATATAACAACCCTCACATGGCAGGTGGGAAAAAAAATCAATTGAATTGGAGGCCATCGCTCTTAGGTTGGAGGCCATCTCTATTGCTGTACATGAATTGCTTCTCGCATCTTTCGGAGCAGACATGAGATCCACAGGCGGAGGAGTGTCCAAGAACAAACATACCACGTGTCATTCCCACCAAAGCCGTTGGAGAAAAACATGCGTGTGTCAGAGCACGGCAGAAAAAAAAAAACTCTATTTCTCTAAACACTTTTCATTCAGAATGTGCATCGTGCCTGTGTGTATGCTGTATCACTGGACTTCGCCGCATGGGTTCACGCTGTTAGAGGCGAAAAATGGGAAATGAACGAATGAAAGCACTTGAACGAACTCAATGCGATCATGGTCAAGTTTCCTATCAACTGGCAGAGTGTATCTTGTACAGTATGGCCGCTTGTAGATCCTGGCCATTCTAGAAGCCAACAAAGCGACACATGTGACATGTCAGAATCAAAAGTCATTGCCTGTATTGACTGTTCCTTTACAGTAAGTGTTGTGACTGTTCTTGTCCTTTTACTACTTCTCTGAACAAAAACCCGTTCTTTACCTCACCCTCACCCCGCAATGTCTCACGTTGAGCAGTTGTCGGCGTCTGGATCTTCCAGAATCCTGGGGATGAGGCAACCCTGCCCATTGGGAAAAAGTGTCTGTATGCTTTGCCAAACTTGCATGCGGATCATCCCTCCTACACTCACATGCACTGAGTACTTCCTGCAATCTGAGCATCCTGCATACATACATTGCAAAATCCTACAGGTTACTATCACCATCCATCACACTTCTTATTGCTTAGTCCACACCTATCCACTCCTATCACCTTTGCTATGGAAAGTCCAGCCCAGCCTCGAACCGAGCCTTGAAGGCGGGGGAGCCACGGAGTCAAGCGGAAGGATCATAGCCCGCCGACCCATCTCTTTCTTCTCCTAGATTTCTCTTCTCGGTTCACGACTCGAGGGAAAAAATGGAAAGTGTTCTCGGTGTTTGCCGGCGAATCCGCTTAGCTCGATGTCCAATATGTGCATCATATATACCGTATTCAGATGTATTCAGTATTATATATACACATAGCTCTTGGTTCCACTAGAAAGCCTCGGCCTAAGAATTACAGCAGGCCTCATTTCACCCAGGACACTTGCAAGTCCGCTATATAATTCACTTTCCTGGTCAAATAGGTTTGGTTTCGATGTGCACAAGCCTTGGTCCCAAGAAGTGAGTGATTGTTCAGGAAGAGTTTATGTAGAACATTGTAGTTATTCAGTGCCCTGCCCAGTGAGGATCGGTCAGCACTTACAACAGAGTCAGGCAATGACGACATAGAGCTGCAAAGCAGTGCGCATAGCTCCTTCAAGGACATCAAGCGCCAATAATCTTTCGAAGAAGGCGCCATGTCCTGCGCTCAGACCATGTCCATGTCTTAAGATCAAGTCCGGGACTCACTATCCCCCTTTCCCATTGTTGGAGTGCAGTGGTTTTTGTGCATTTCATGCATTGGGTCTATCCTAATGCCTGTAACAGTGGATGATGATGGTTAGTAAAGGCCTTGTCCAAAAATAGTGACAATTGTTTATTGACTGTTGCAGGTACATGCAAATAATATCGAATAATACTTCCAGTATCTTCCAGTCAGGATCTTCAATGGCAAAGTGAAACCAGGCAGGTTCAGGTTCTTGGCTGCATCCGCATTGAGTGAGCATACTTACAGATATGTTTACGAGTCGTCTGACGAATATCCCTGACCTGGTTTGTGTACTCCCGATTTCCTGTCTAACAAATCATACCAGGGCGTTGGTTTCCGGGAAGACTGTTCCCCTCTTTGTCACGGAGGTTCAAGCTTCCTACAGGTTGGATGAAACGATATGAAATGCCTTTACGGAAGCTACTCATATTGCTGTTGACACCCCATTTTTGCTTTCCAGCAACATGCTTGCCTAAGGCCTTTGCAAAGGATCACGGGAGGACCCGGTAGGAGCTAGCAGCTGGCAGCTGTTGATTCCACCCAAGGTTGTAGTGGTTCTCTGTCTTTTGCCTTGGTCTTGTTGCTGTTCACTGCACAAGAAGCAAAGTCCTGAATCTAAAGGCTTTTCACACAACACCTAGCCTAGTGGAGCGGCAGGTGCTCATGCTTCTTCGAGATTTCAAGAAGAAGTGGAACTACAAATAAATGTCTGCAGACTGACATGTGCAAAAAAGCAATGTCATGTCAAACTCCACAGCAGGACTCGACCGATAAGAGTAGCATCCCACTAGCTAAAGGGTTCTCATGTCTGTTCGGCCGTTTCACTCAAAGGCCCCACGTCCGTCCTTCTTGGACATACGTTGTGCGAAAAAGCCGTAATGCGAAGCAGCTAGCCTCCAAGTCACTGATGAGTTGAGCCAGGGGCAAACCAAAGTTCCAAACCCCGTTTCACTATAGTTATCACCAGAGATGGCATCCTCTAACGGGCTATCACCACGGGCACCATACACTATGGCAGCAGCATCTTTGGCATACAGTATCTTTCCAAATATTTCAACATCAGTAAACACAGCAGCCACAATAGCTTTAGCAACACAACAAGAAAACACACATGAGTGTGGTGCTTTGGAGGGAACCCGTTTGTAGTTCTATCACTATCCTAAAACTCTGGCATTAACATGCATTAACTGGAAAATGCAACATGATCAACATAATACTGTTAAACTGTTACACATCATGCAACTATTACAAATAACGGTCACCATTCATGATCAAACGCAAGACACTACCTGCAAATGTGCTTCCGAGACCTTGCCATTCTAGGAGCAATCTTTTGAAACGCCAGGGTCTCAAGTCTCAAGCAAATTGACTTGGTGAGCCCCTTCGTTAGGTACCCTAAAGCTGTCCAGCATCTCGCCTCTCAATACGTCTGTCCTGCGCAACACACTGACAAGGAGGGCATACTTCTGTGAAATTGCACGCCAGGCAGTCTTAAGCAATTGGTTCTCACCTACTTGAAGGCAAGAAGAAAGGGGATGCCACCTGGGACAAGATGAGACAGGTGATTTGACAAAGTTCCAGCCCCACCGCGTCCGCCCTTTTAAACCTCCCCTTAAGTTCAGCTCCCACTTTCACCTTTTCTGCACCACTGGAGGCACACCCACCGAGCAAAGGGGACGCAAAATCAAAAAGACTACGCAGGCTTTGCCCACACAAATCTGCAATCACATATGACATCTGCTTACGAACCAGCGCACGGCTTGCACAAAGAGCTCCTCTTCAGCATCCATTAGAAGCTCGTCAACTGAAGATCGTCGCCTTAGAATGGCTACCACAATGATTGCACTACAGTGGAAAAGGCGGAAGCAGCATAGAATTTTTAATGTTCACTGACTACATGACTACATGTGAACCACTGCTCAACTGTACAAATTCTCAACTTACAGCATCGAAATCTTAACTGCCCATCTCTGAGGCGACAGCCGCTCGGTTCTGTCCAGTGCCTCGAAGCTCACAACACACAGGTTTCTCTGTTAGTAGCTTTATATTGTAACTGATCACACTGGGCCATCAACAGTGCTCCCTTGAACTCAGATTTCATGTCTGATTACACCAATACAACAGATTTGCTCTCACCACCCACTAGATCAACATATCTGAATGCCAGAGTCCAGACCAGAGATGAACAATCCCTGCTATCGTGCCAGGTCCAAACCCTCGGGTGAGCCTCAGAACTCAGCGCAGGCAAGGAGGATGAGAGCTGGAGGCCTTCGAACTCCAGTAGTTCACGGAAACGCATCCAACGTCGTACAACGTACCTTTCCGAAAACTATGTAACATTGACCCTGAAAGTGGGGCATTGGAAGACAATGCTGTGGTTTTCGAATTCCACCTTAGTCTGCAGGGGGGTATTGCTTTGTCTGATGCAATGCTGAGCTTCATATCTGGCAACAGTTTCAGGTGTTTGAGATTCTCAAAATGTAGATCTGGCCCAATCCGGCTTGCGGTTGCTAGAAAGCGAAGTCATTAATTACTTATAATATATATATATATATATATGTGTTATGTCATATCCGGGAAAGCAGAATTCGGCCTTTGCCCCCAGGCTCTTGCACCAGCAACGTACATTTTGACACCAACCATCACTGTCGTGGGCTCGCAGTTCAGCAAAATTCTGAGTCTCGCAGGATCTGGACTGGCAAATCAACATGGATGCAAAACACATCAACCTTTCACAAAGGCTTCTCTCCATTGCTGCACGTTACCGCTGGCGGCCTCCAGTCGTTTTCGCTCTCCGTGATGCGGACGAAGACCCTTGCCGCCTAGCAGAGTGTCAGAGCTAAAGTGCTTGGCGCATTTCCTTTCAAGTATTGTGCCAGTGCCACTATTCTTGTGGTTGATCAGAAGTTCTGTCACAAAAGAATTGTACGACTCTCAAGGGGTTGAGATGGCGTTCAACAACCACGCGGCCTTCACATCGTTTGATTTGCACCGTTTTTGCTGATTGATATTTGCAGGTATTGAAACGCATGTAAAACTCTCTGAAGGTGCGTTTCTGCAGTCCAAAAGCACTACAGCAAATGCTGCAGACTTGCAATGCTGACAAAAGATTATCTCACTTTCCACAACGCCACAAGGATGCCAACTCATGTTCTCCTTGTGATCCCTAGTGACCAAAGTAATGGCGAATCGAATTTCAGGAGGCGTCAAACTAGACCGGAACAGTGCGTGGCAATGTTCCCTGAAGCTCCCAAAGAACCGTCTACTAGTTTCAGTTGCCAACATCTCAAAATCCCAATACATCATGAGATACAGTCGCCTGTTAGGATCCAGGATGCACTGACTGATTAACAATGGAAGTTCCAGGCAGGCGCCTGAGTTGCCGCCATGTTATATATATATATGTATATGTATAAATTATATATACATATAAATTATATATAATGTGTATAAACTATATTGGATTATATATATAGCCGCATGGAAGGGTGTTCTTCCAGTTTTCTCCAATCTATGCTATGTATTCATCCCAGATCCGGTTCTGATCCTCCAAATCTTCAACAAACGGCCTTATAGAAGCCTTCGAGCGGCGTGTTAGGCTGGCATCATCTGGGCCGGTGGACTGGCTCACTGTTTCTCGTCCAGTTGGGGAATGAGACACCATGGGATGGCTCCATTTTGCGGAGGGCGTTCGGGATTTATGTCCTTCGCATAAAGCAACTCGCTATTAGGTTGGAGGCCATCGCTACTGATTGGGTTGAAGGCCATCGCTACTAGGTTGCAGGCCATCGCTCTTAGGTTGGAGGCCATCCCTAGTAGGGTGGAGGTGAGGCTGGATACTTTTACTTTTCTATGACCACGTGAGCCGTCTTTCGCATGACTGTTTCTCTCTACAAAACCTGCCACACAAGATCACACAACTGTCTTGCAATTCAAAATGCTGGGTCCAACAGTCTTAAATTGACCTTCATTTTGAGGTTTGTATATAATATTCTTTGCGGGCTCTAGCCATTATCATCAAACTCGAAAGGCTCGCCAGAAAGAGGTACAGGCCTTCAAGGACAAAGATCAAACTCGGTCCTGCTCCACTTTCTAGTACTGCATGAACAAATATGCAACACAACATCCTGCCGAGTCGTTGTTCAACTGGGTGCTAGCAGGGTTGCCCAGATTCGTCGCACAAGCTTCATTCTGAAAGAGCAAGGCAGTCTTACAGCGGCCTTGCAAACGAACACACTGCACTGTGCTGTCAAGGGCCCCCTGCCACCTTCACCAGTCCGAGGAGAACTTTGTCTGCTACCTTGATGCAAAGTTAAATGATACGGATACGGACATGCATGATGCTACGCACGTGAAACACGCTACTTTAATGTGAGTTGGGATATGACAAATCTTGCTCTGCACGAAAACCCTTCGGTCTCATATCTATACAGTAGCTTAGAGCTGATGTTTGCGGTAGCTAACCTCTCACATTTTAGCCTTCAAGTCAATGTTGCTTATTAAAAACAAATGAATAGCACATCCATCAACACTTTAATTGCGCGAGTTACTCTAAAACAATCCTAAACAGCGCTATTCACTATTCAAACCGCCACGACTGCTGTTCTTCCCAGCCAGCAATTCAATGCCATTTGACGGGTGCTGAGTTTTCCAAAGCCCAATGACCTGCCTACATGAAGAGCACTGTCATTGGTCTCAATCTGTAACGGTGAAGCGAAACCCTGAATTGCTTCCCGAGAGGTTTTAACATCTTGCTCAGCCACAGTGTCCCGAGGTGGAGCCCAGATTTGCTCGGAACCACTCTGGCATGAAACAAGGACACCAATCAGCTTTCTTTTTGAGGGATCAAATATTGCTGGAATGATGCCCATCATCCGCTGGCTACATATCCTTCATGAAAAAGCAAACTGCGGTATGGATCTACAGTATGTGCTGCTTTGGTATGCGCGCCATGCTTTGATACTGGCGGACTGGGATTTTCCTTTCAATCTGTCTTGCAAAGCGTGCACGTTTACTACACATTACTGTAGTACACAACAGGTATGACAAATCTGACAAACACGAAACTTGTCTTGAAACAGCGAGGCTCTTTGATTACCTTCTGAGGATAAACAAACTATTTTGATTCGTGATGTGTTAAACAAAAAAACAACTCTCACAGTATCTTCATAGCCCAAAATATACTCTCACAACATGGCCGCTTTTCGGTGCTACTGACCAACTCTGATCCCGCACTTTCGGCTTTGACCTGCTTCTGGCGCTGTACCCTAGGCGAACACAAACATTGGACAGCAGCCGACTTGAGCACCAACCAAGTTTGGTAGATTCCACGACTTGCTTCAACATGCAGGTGACCTGTAAGCTTCATTCGTGGGAATGCACTATACACATTGTAATTGTCCAAAAGTAGCAAGAAATCAGTGCGCAACTGTGCGCCAAGTATCTTTGATACAGCCAACGAGCTGATAAATGCTACTGCTGGTCGCACTATTTCAACCTGTATATTCAAATTGAGATGGTCCAATGGTCCATTTACATTCCAATCATTGGCAAATCACTCCAAATTCAGCTGTCTATGAACACAACAACCTTGCTGTTCTTGCTGAGTCCTTTACTCCTGCATCCAAGTCATGAATGACCAGAAAATAGAGATCAAGTCCATTGGTCTCCAATCATCTAAGGCTCACAGTTGTACACACGATCAATCCGAGCCCAAGTCATGTCAACACATATATATATATATATGTGTTTATGTATCTGTATATATATATACTATATACTATATACACACCAAGCGCCACACTCTCTCTTGCCTTGCGCAATGTACTGTGAAGGCTCCAAACAGAAGGGTCCTTCATGCAGAACAATCCGCCGCAGTTCTGTGTGTAGAGAATCACAGAGTGAGACAATGCGGTATGTCTTACTGGGTCTGCTCACCCGCGAACAATCCATAAGTGAAACATCTTGAAACACTTTGTGCAAACTCTGGGTGCTGGTCCATGCTGTTCATCCTCTTCAGGCGATGTGAAGCTCGTGAGACCCAAACTAACCCGGCCAGAACTATCACCAATACTAGCGCATCATGTTTCAAAACAAGAACCCTTCGCCTTCAACAGTATCCATTCCCAAAACAGCCTATGTGCGCTTGAAAAGAACAAACAAATATAGTTCTGTGTAGAACCAAGCCATCGGATCCTGTACCAGCTGAACGAGATCAGTCAATGGTGGACGTCAAGAGGGAGAATCAGGCCAGCGGAGGAGAGCCCTTGGTTGAGATAGCGGGGCACCCTGCAAGTTCACATCGAGAAGAAGAGGAGCAAGAAAAGGACCAGAAGGAGGAACCAGAAGAGAAAAAGAAGAAGCGAAGGAAGCACAAGAGTGGGAAGCTGCGCATAACTCACAGCAAAGTAGTGTACAGTATAATTACACGCATAAAGAAGGCAATGAGACGATATAAGAAAGACAAAAAAGCAGGCAAAGAATAGGTCCTGTTGAACCTGCGAACGAATCGCTTGAGAAGCGGCCCGAGGCATTTTACTTGTCCCCAACCCCAAATGGCTCTGTCACCAAGCATTTTTCGAGATTGCCACCGCCACCTCCCGCACCACGGAGGCCCATCGAACCTGATAATCCACCACCTGGGAAGAGAGAGACTATAGTATAGGAGTGAAAGAAGGCAAAGGTCCCGGACACCACCGAGGGATCAGCGAAGAAGGGGCACCAAGGGTGTCAAACACCGCGAGAGAGGCAAACTTTGGCGCGAAGGCTGACGGTAGAAGCAATGACTCCACAGGCAAAAGCCAAGGCAAAACCAAAACCCAAAGCAGCGGGTCGAAGAGCGGCCCCTCTATGAGTGTGGGTGCACTGAGACCAGTTGCCCCCCGGGACGATGCTTCTCGACCCCGGGAGCAAAGGTTGCATGGAGAGGAGGTTCAGGTGCACGAGATCGCCATCGAAAACGGAAGTGTTCACCGACACCAACTACTTCGGCACCAAGTGCAAAGTCGCCGGAACAATCAAAGGTGTGGACATCCAGCCCGAGGCGATTCACCTTTTTCTGACATTTCACCGAAATCTTTTAACAACTCGCCTGGCAGAGGAACATGAAGGGATTGCAAGATCTCTTAATGTTTTCTCCAACAACCTTTGTCAGAGCACTGCTCTGAAGCTGCCGCTAGTTAGGAGGCGTGGCTCACTATGGGCGGCGCAGTCGACGGACTTCACACACTCAGGGTGTGGCCAGGTGTGATGGGTCACCTTCCATTTATATGGGTGGGATTACCTAAGGTCTGACAAGGTTGTTCTATTTTAGATTTACCGATTGATTTTATCTTGACAACACTGCTGCGAAGTGGACCAAAACTTTGTCTTGTGCGTCTTTGGGTATATATATATACTCTGGGAGTTCCACTTGTTGCAAGCTCTTGGCACCCTCCACAGTCAGTCGGATTGGAGAGCAAGACCATTCGCCAACCTCACCTCGGCCAAAGAAGGTCTCCGCCTTGTACCTGCCCAGGCATGGACAGTCATTATATATATATACGTTTGAAAACATCTCGTGTTCAGACATCCCAAGTCTGAAGCTGAGCACGGATAACGTTTAAGTACAAGCCTTTGAATGAATGTGGCGGTCAATTTTCGGGCTCCGAGTAATTTCTGGTGGAAGACTTCTCGGACGCATGCAATACCCTGACCTGGCATTTGACATTGGTTCAAGCCTCAACAAGCCCTCACAGCCCGGCCTCTTCTTACAGCTCACACCGTTTGTCACAAAGTTCCGCAAGGCAGCGCTTTCCTGTGGCGGCATCGCTTACAGGGAAAGAAATCAAGACGTCAAATCAAGTAGTTTAGATTTCCTTCTCAACTCCTTGTCGAATTCCATGCAATGGAAGCAATATTTGTCGGACATAGGCTTTGCGACAGCGGATACTGAACGCAAACGCAGGTAATCGAAGAATATATAACCCAGGAAGTTTTCAGGGCTGCTACACAAAAGTTGAGTGATTCACCAAATGATATAAATAACATCTAAACAAATATCCGTATATACATATATATATATATAATACTAGTATATATAATCAGTGGCTGTCAAGGCAATGCAACTGGCATCAACTGGCATTCAAAGAGGGATAACTAACCCTGTATTGGCGGAGTGGGCCCCCCTACTATTGGAAAACAACCGTGGATAGGAAGTCGAAGAGCAATCTGGTCATAGCCAAGGGAGAGTTGTAACCTTGTAAAGGCTGGAAATCGAGAACCTCTCATTGAAGTCTGCTTTTAAAAAAAAAGAAGCAACGTCCCAGCACTGCTGTGATTCATTGGCACAAAAGCTATACAAGCTATACAAGCTCTGGCATGTTGAATGCTATGTATGGGATGATGACAAAACAAACGGGACATGCCACCATTCCACTCCCGAACTTGGCCTGCAAAAGGTGGGCTGGAAGCTCAGCTAAGACCTGCGCGGTGGTAAGTACGTTATCACAAGACAGGTCTTAGTCTTAGCGGGTAAAACGTGCTGTAGGTGGTGATACTGCTCTCAATTCCATCACAATTGAGACCCCATACGTCCAAGACCCCAATGAGTAATTGGTAGTCCAACAGCTTGCACCAGCTAGAGCCACAACTGGCCCAACATGGACGCCAACCAAAAAGATCCAAAAGGTAGGTTACTCGGTCACACACTTTAGGAGGTGTAGTGTATGTGGCTAACTAGGTAACTAGATGTACAATGTACCGTATGATTCATCTGATGCGATGCTAGCAAAAACAAAATAGGAGCAAGGACGCTACTAGGGGCTCCTGGCAGTACTACTAGGAGCAAGAAGCTACTAATAACAAAGGGCTTCGCTACGAACATAAACAACAACTGCATCTGAGACATGTCGACCTGACCAAAAGTCTCTACAATGACCTTGCATTGCATGCGCATGTCTGTCGCTTTGCCACTCCAGCAAGCCAGCAAACCTTGTTGATCTCCCAGAAATAAGGCCTCAGGCCTCAAAGAGCTGTGTTGCTGCAAGTGCTGCTGTCCTTTTTGACCCTTTCTGCTATAGCACTTTCTACTTAAAGCTCAAATAAGCTCAATGCACTTCCTTCAAGGATCGCTTCACTCCGAGCTCCAAGAAGATTAGTTGTATGTATATAGTTGTCAACAAAACTAGTGCTGAAAAACCTCGTGTTGCCTACATGAAGTGATTGCACACTCTTCAATGCCTGGCCCCTGGCGGTCAACATAAACCGTATGCAGCAAGTCCAGCTCTCCAAGAGCATCTGATGGGAGGGGACAGTGGTTGTGATCGTCCAGCTTGGAAGATCTTCAGTTGCAACCTCACTCAATCCTTCTGCAGGACACAAATGTGCATAAAGGAAAAGTCTCGGAATGCGTCATCTTCATTACAGATCATTACAGTACTTGTCATACAGCTGGCTGACTATTCATGACTATTCACTATTCTGACTCTCCCCAGCGGCGTTTGCTTCGACCCTGCCTTCCATGCCTGGAGTGATATCGGCTGGGCGACCTCAGTAGCTGGCAGGGATATTGTATACATGAACAAATCCTTTCCCAGCCAGACTGTCAGATCGTTGCGGCTTTCACATGTTCTTTAAAGCCCATCGGGGCCCCTGCCTCCTTACTTAATTAAGTAGGCGCCTACTTAATTAAGCAAGGGAGTAAGCTTCTAGTAACTGGACACAGGATAGCTCACGCACTGATGATATGAGTTGGTTCCTAGAGTATTTTAGGAAACCTTGTTATGCGTGTTAAAACATGTAAAGAACATATGCTCGACACACCGCATTCCTCTTCAGTCAATTATTATTTGATGTTGCATGGCTGACACCTGCAGCAGCGCCTACACTGATGAAGAGTTGCTGTTTTGCCTTGGGCTGCCCACATGCATGCCTGAAACTGCTGGCCCACTGCTGGCCTCTATTTTTCGACAGCCTTCCAAGTATGTTTGCAGAATTTGGCTGGCAGCCATGCCCCCGGGCGTGTGAGCGACATCACCTTGCGCGGCTCGAAAAGTTGTACAGGTGTCTGGGCCCTTGAGACCATTGAGACCATTGTCTGTGTCTGTGGTCACCATGCCATCCTGATTCTAAATGATAGGTCGTATATACAGTACAGTAATAGCATCAGTACCTTTGAAGTTCTGTGCGTTTATAGTTAATCGGCGATTGTGGACTGTGCATGTTCTTGTTCTGATCAAGGACACCTGGTGCAAGTCCGAACTCAATAGCAATCAGCATACATCAATGCCAAACACAAAGGTGCCACCCAAAAATGCAGATCCACGCACTGTACGTCTGAGTCAGAGTCGCTGTTATGATTATCTACGATGGTTGGTATGTGGTTGCCAAAACACAGTAGTTGATGCATCATGCCCAGTGAGGACACGGCCTTAGCAACCGGACCCCACGTCTCACCCAGTCCCAACACTGTCAGAGTCAACCCACGTCGCCGGTGGCTGCTAGGGACACAAGGAAGGCATCCAGTTCCTCAGAACGCAGCTTCGGCCACTGAACAGCATCCTTGTTGTTGGTAGCAAGGGGTAGTTAAGGAAGGGGTAGTTAAGTCATGTTAAGTCTCAGAAAAGGCATTCAGTCGGTGGATTGGGCAGTGGCAGGGTGGCCATTTGGCCAACATAGAGGCGAAAAAACAGAGCCACTGAATGAATGATTAACAGCCAAACAATGGCATCGTCATGCAGGTCCAAATTCCTTAGTCTGCAAAACACATCATGGACTTATGTACAATGTACGGGCAAAGAGAAAAAATTAAAGCGGCATGCCCAGCTGGGGCCCAGCTGTGAGGTTGCCCGGAAATTGAGGAAAGAAAACCCGACTTGGCATGGGCAGCTACGCAGAAAAAGAAATGGTTCTCCCAGCTGATTGAACAACAGCGCCCGTTCCACAACCCACTCTCTCCACGGGATGGACTTAGTCCCTAGTAGCTTCTTGTTCCTAGTAGTAAGGCCAGGAGCCCCTAGTAGCGTCCTTGCTCCTAGTAGCGATGCCAGGAGCCCCTAGTAGAGTCCTTGTTCCTACCTTTCTGTGCTTCCTCGGTGGAAACCATGTTCAATCCGCATCTCGATGTCTCTACCAAGTCACTCCAGCTTTGGGAAGAACTGGTGTGCGAGTCTGGCGGAGAACAGCTCAAATGCTGGGCTTGCAACGGTGTCTCAGAGGTGTGCATTATGTGAGTGTATATATATACACAATAAACATAGGTACATTACTTCACATCCTCTTCCAGACCGGAACAACCCTGCTCGTCGAGAACGAACGCAAAACACCTAAAATAACACTGGCTCTGGGCAAGTTTCACCGAAAACAAATTGCACTCCCTCGAATGGGCTTTGGTGCAGTCTTACCAGTCTCATACCGGTTGGATCATCAACACTCAGGAAGTTCTATAATTATATACCTGTTTGTTCATATGAAAAGTAAAAGTGCAAATCAATAAAATTCATATGAATTCACATGTGCAAAGGGATTGTAGCAAAGCCTCGTCGGCTTTATCGAATCATTCCCACGCCTTGACCCGCCGGTAGCCCCCCTGCTTGTCGAAGGCCAATTGATCGACCAAGTGGTGAAACCTCAGCAGTGGCAAAACTCCAAACAAGCTCCGCAAACTCAAAATCCTTACAAAGAAAACTCTGCATGAAACTGCTTTCAAATTTCCTGAATTGAATTGGCGTCCATGACATTCCAAACTTGGCGAGATTGGAATGACTTCCCTGCTCAGCTTTGCCATGTTCTTCTGTGCAATGCAATGCACGCAGCCCCACGTAAGCGGTATTCACTTAGTGTTCAGTAAGTCGGCTAAGCCATTGGCAACCCCCTTTCTGTTCAGAATCCAGCTGAAATCAATGCAGAAGCGGTGCTCCTAGGGATGTAATTTTTCAATGTTTAAACGATATCATGAAATACCACCCAAAAATGTGTGCACTTTCGCTCTGGTATGATTTTGTTTTATCCCCTGCAATAATGTCCATGCTTGTCTCTTTTCATTATGTATATGTTGAATTCCCTGACAAATGTCCTAATTATTGATGCCCTTGTGATTCCTTTTGATTCCTATTGATTCCCTTGCAAAGTCCTTTTGATGTCATAATTATTGCGTATGTTTTTACTTACTGATTTCAAGTGTACGAAGCTGTTCCAATGCTCAGCTAGGCCAAGCCGGCCAAGCCAAGTCATTGACAATCAGCTCCCTAACCGACCGTCAGCCTGTACTGACTTTCTGCCAAGAGGCTTCTGAATGTCGTTCCACCGTCTTTTCACAGTGTAGCATGAAGGTAATGGATCCCACCTCAAGGAAAGCAGGTTATATATCCATATGAAAATGGTTATCACCTTTGTGCAGGTTCCAAGGCATGCGCCAGTAACTCTCACCTCTTTGTTGAGAGACGGCATCTTCCTCCGAACCGAACTCAAACGCACTCCTGGCATCGGCGGGCAGTGCAAAACCATTGGTGTTCCTGCTTTGACTAGCTCAATGCTGTAGACCGGGGCTCAACAACAGACCCCTCACCGCGAGGCTCTCGCCTGGAGCCTGTCCAACTACATCGCACATGGTAGATAAAGTGCGGTGGCTTGGGGATCCGATCCTGGCCGCATCAACGATTCTGAGCAGCTGTGTCGCACACTACTCATGTCATGGAAACAAACGAATAAGCAAGGATACCAGCTTCGATCTTCGTTCACAAAATTATGAGAATGTGGCTCCGGTGACAAATGCTAACCCGAGTGTCAGTCTTACCATTGCCTTTCATGTAAGCGTCGTGACAGTCTTTTGAGGACTTGTGGAAGGGCCTACAATGCACCGTCTGACTCAGTCTGCGGATACCGCTTTATCTTTGCCTTCCTCGTGCATTCTGTGCCTTTCCAAACAAAGAACTCTACAGAAAAAACACGAAACTTCGAAGAAAGGGCAGGCCAGCATGGCTGTAGCATTGCAGACTCTGCGGTAAGTCTTGACCTCCAAACATGGGCTAGCGGCCCGAACAATTTTGTAAATCTCTCGGTGTTCATCCCCAATAATAGACACTAAAATGCATGTGTGTCCATGTTGTTCCTCTTTTAATTGATCTGTCTCCTTAGCATAGCATCGAAACATCGGGATGGTCTGCGGGTTCGGGCTCCAAATCTATCACCACACGCTTGCACCATCATCTGTTTTTCAACGTCTAAGAGTCTAGGGCCTAGAAATTCTAGAAGTAACAAATAATTTTGACTCCAACATTTGCGTGTACTGCCTGTATCTGTTTGTAGTGTCTTCTGTTGTTAAGAGCTTCCTGACTTCCAAAACGAGTCAGGCACACCGGCTTAAAGACTCTTCACTAATTTTCATATGTATTTCCCCAACCAGTTTGCTGTTGGGGCTCTATAATAGAAAAAAAGAGCTGGCCACACTCACTGGCCGCGCCCCTGAACTCTGTGGCTGGGCTCTGTTCTGTGTCCAGGCCTTGTCCTCCTCTTGTCCTCCGTGGCTGGGCTCTGTGTCCAGGCCTTGTCCTCCTCTTGTCCTCTGTGGCTGGGCCTTGTCCTCTTCTTGTCTTCCTCTTGTCCTTGTCTTGGCCGCTCCCCTGAACTCTGTGGCTGGGCTCTGTGGCCCGGCTCTGTGTCCGGGTCTTGTCCTCCTCTTGTCCTTGTCTTGGCCGCGCCCCTGAACTCTGTGGCTGGTCTCTGTGGCCCGGCTTACTGGAGAGGAGTGTGGCCAAACAAATAGCGATGTCAATGCCGACAAAAATTCATTGATGAAGCAGTCTGCTCTTGGGATGAAGGTAGGGCGTACCAAGATATCGATGTTTGACTGATATTGGTCTAAACTAAACGAATCGTTTTTTTGAAGCTGTATAATTTAATGTACAGTGTTGGCATGAGTTTGGTATGGTTAGTTTGGTATGGTTGACGCTTGTGGAAACATGGTGTGAACATATGGGGTGCTGTAAAAACACCGTGTCTTTTGCAATACCTCGAAACCATGTTATCATGTTTTAACTCTTATCGTTTTCTCAGGTAAAGCATCTTTGGTGGAAGATCACAAATCAAAAGATGTCATTTGAAGGTCTACATTTATGATGTATACATGTATGATGTACCTTACAGCCTAACTCTGAAATCTCAAGGATTCATTTAAAAAAAAGCACAAAATGCAAAACCGCACTCAGAAATGATGACTAGGAAATGCAAAAAAAGGCAGCTGGTCAAAAAGAGTGCATATAAAAAACACAAAAATTGCAAAAGGAATCCAAAAAAAAGCAAGCAACACGCAAAAAAAAAACAATGAAAAAAGTAAAACAAAAGCGATCAAAACGCACAAAAAATGCACATGCACAACCAAATTTCACACACCACCTTTCTTCAGGGTCTGCTATTTCAGCTTTTTCAAAATCAATTTGGAAGTGCGGCACGTCGACGGGAGAAGCGCGAACTTTTCTAAGCGCGGCATAGTACAAGCGCGGCAAAGTAGAAGCTCACTTCCGGCATTCCTGGTGTGGAACGAGGCTGGAGTCCGGGCAAAGAGTTGGGAACGTTGACGCTTATATCCGATGGGAGGTTAAGGAAGAGGTCTAGTGCCCTACACATCCACACCCTGATCAACTGCATGGGTACGGTTTGAGGGTCCAAACCCCGAACCGACTGGAGTCGAGTCCGACCCCTGACTCCGGAGGCTCGCAGGAGGGTCTGTTTTTTTAAAACACGAACTAGCAAGTTCGAGATCAGGAGATCTCTTTTTTCCATTAAAAAATAGTCTCCTGAAAAATAACCTGTTTCTAGGGGAAAACATTGACAGAATAGAACTCATTCGTCGAATTACACAGAAACCGTTTCCAAAACATTTGGAATGAATCATGTTGATATTATTGAAGGCGGTGTATTTTTGATTTATTTCTTTCTATCTATTGAAAGGTCACGAGCTATGGCCGAGCTAGGCTTCACCTACTAACCGTTTTGCAACCAACACTGCGAGAAGCTCCGGGTCACAACGCCGAATCGCTTCTTCAAGAAGAGCTTGGAGCGAACCCATTCCTCATCGCCCGAATCCGAGGCAAATGAAAAAAGTTTTCGTTCGAAACAACTGAGGTCCCTCCCAAACAACTCGATCAGGTGTCACGTCCCCTATACCCCTATATATATAGGGCGATCCGCAGAAGCCCCGACCAGCGTTCATGGCTTCCAGCGGTGTCGGTTTCGAGGTTGGGCGATTTTGTCCGCCCCGTCGTTTGTGCAGGGCGAGTTTCTCTTTTAGTGCTGGGGGATCGACCATCGGAGAACACTCCGTTCATTCTTCTGTCAGGGCAAGCAGGGTGGGTCCTATGACCTGGGAATTTGAAACGGCAACAGTTTCTGATCTCTGGAATCTCCACCAAAACTTGAGCCCGCACGCCGGAAAGCCAGGCCTGCCAACTTTTCATTCAAGCAGGTTGGCACGAATCTTGCTACGACTTCTCCAACTCACGCCTGGACTGCAACCATCCTGCTCCTTCGTCAGACTCCAGCCACAAGTTCAGCCGCTCCTGTAGCGTGGAAGGGGCTCTGCTTTTGGCCTCTGTGCGGCGGTCTTCAGCAAGAATTGGCAGCGCCTGCATGCCCTTGGCACCTGTCACCTTCCTCAGGCGGCTTCGTGCACTTTCTTCAAGAAGAGCAGGCGCGTGCCTATTGCAAGCTTCCCGGATCTCATCTTGCGCATCAGTGCTGGCAGCCAAGCCAGACAGGTCAGCACCTCCAGCCTCTCGCAAGGCTGCGTGCCTTGTCCCCACTCTGGCATCGCTGCGCACGGCCAACTGTCCAAGGCACCAAGATGTATTGTCATTGTCAGCTCTCTTTCGCTTCAGAAGCGGGTTTTTCCCAAACTCCTGGGCCAAAACGTCGGCCACCTGACCCACCAGCAGCTCGTCCCTGCTGCCCCCAACGCAAGCCACGCCACCTTCTCGGAGCAAGAGTCTCTGAGCTATTCGGTGAGGAGGAAGTGTCGAATCCTCATCAAATATCTGGTGGATCAGCGAAAAGTACCGCTCGTTTGCACTGTCACACACAGCCGTGGCGCGAGAGCGGTGGTGAACAACCACGCAATGCCAAAGATGCCCTGCAGGAGTGAGTCTTGTAACGTCAGCGGGCCGGGGCTCGTTCAGAGTTGGATCGTGGTCAAGTGCAGCAGAAACAGCTGAAGCCAGGATTTCTCGATGTTCTCGGACTACGCGAACCAGCTTTCCGAAGACACCACCAAAAGTTTCCAACTTTTTGTTTCTCTTGATCGCCCCAAGGCTCCCAATCCGGCCCCGGAATGCTGCTGCCAGCTTTCGTGCTCCACGAGAAGCTGAAGCAAACCCAGGCTGACGAAGAGAAGCTTCTTGGACATAGAAGCACGGCAACTCTCCTTGTGTAAAAGTCCAAATCAGGCTCACCAAACTCACAGGCAGCACACGAACCAACACAGCCACAGGCTCTGTGGCAGGAGGCCTCACAACCGGAACCACACTCCAACCAACAACTTTGCTCCAGTCTGGTCGCTTTGCGTACTCTTCCTTGAGCCTCCGAATTAACTGGAAGTGCTGCGCCCCAATTTTCTTCGGCTCCTTGTCGTACCAATGCCGCTCCACATGTGGGAAGGTCTGTGGGTCTGGCCACGAACAACGCTGTAGATCTGGCCTCAATGCTTTGAGCAGCTTTAAGAAGGCTTCCTTGTGTTCTTTTTGGTATCGCCCATTCTCTTGCAAAAAGTACTGCCAATCAAAGGCCACTGACATGCATTGCAAAAGCTCCTCTACGAACTCTGATGTTCCAACACCTCCAAAGTACTCAGAATACTGATGCGCCAGCTCTCCAAGCCAGTCCGAACCCATCCTCAAAGCAGCCTTGAGCTTGTCATACATGTGCGGAAAATTCCTAGCCACGCAAGCACGCGTTTTGTTCGATGTTTGGGGCTCTGAAAAAACCGGTGGTGGGACCTTGGTCGGTCCAGCTTGGTTGCATTAAAAAGAATGTGGTGACCTCAGTTTTCTTTTCTGCGACGATTTGGAGCTGGAGAACAGGGTTAGGCGGCAGGGCCTACTGGGCATGCTTCTGGCCTTTGATCTGCAAGGTACCCACCTGCGCTAATGGGTTTGCGATTGAAATTCTAAGGTGTGAAGTGTGTTTGAACAGGGAAACCAAGAACATACATGAACTATGTATTCTATATAAGATGGCGTAGCGTGCTATGAAGATCCCACGCACACTCTTAGGATGGAGCCCGATCAGGGGCAGAGATATATAGTGAGGTTGGGTCACACGTGTACGGACGTTTCACTTGACTTGAAGAAAAATGAGGAACCGCAAAGCGCCGGGTTCGAAACCTGAAAGGTGTTTAACAAAATGTTATGTGCGGCACAAACCGATCGGCTGAGTGAAGGAACGACGGCCGAGTCCTGCGACAAAATGACGACGAATGCACGGCCGACGCACATCTGCAGACCCATTATAAACAGCCTGATCACTAGAGTGGGACGTAGCTGCAGAACGCCACAAACAAGGTGCAGGTACGTCACTGGACATCTCCGGTGATATCCTCAGGACACTGCAGAGAGCTTTGTTAAGTCGAGCTCTGTAGGCCTGCTACACTCCCCTGCTGCTGTGCGAAAGACCTAAACTAGGTGTGACCCATTGCCGATATCGGCACGCGCGAAGTGTGAAATGTTATCATGAGGAGTCCGAGCCCATAGGGCCAGTGCCTGCCGTAGATCTCACGTTCGGAGCTATGCACACTGGCAAGGTAACCGGCTGATTCGTCAAGAAATCCAACATCGTGCAAAAAAAACCATCGAGCTGTAAGTGACATGCATAAACCAAGCATGGAACGCTCTCCAAAGCGGGATTCTCAGTCAATCCTGCGATATCAAACCAACGTGCGAATTAAAACCGCCTTGTCGGCAAAACTTCACGAGCTGGATCCAAATCGTAGAAATTACAACAGGGGTCAGCTGTAAAATATGCGCGTCAACCTCCCGAAAAATGGGTATCACATCCTTGACCGCAGTGGGGTGCAAGGACTGCGTCATACTTAGGATGGAGCCCGATGAGGGGCAGAGACAGTGAGGTTGGGTCACACATGTACGGACGTCTCACTTGACTTGAAGAAAACAGAGGAACTGCAAAGCGCTGGGTCCGAAACCTGAAAGGTGTTTAACAAAATGTTATATGTGGCGCAAACCGATCGGCTGAGTGAAGGAACGACGGCCGAGTCCTGCGACAAAATGACGACGAATGCACGGCCGACGCACATCTGCAGACCTATTATAAACAGCCTGATCACTAGAGTGGGACGTAGCTGCAGAACGCCGCAAACAAGGTGCAGGTGCGTCACTGGACATCTTCGGTGATATCCTCAGGACACTGCAGAGAGCTTTGTTAAGTCGAGCTCTGCAGGCCTGCTCCACTCCCCTGCTGCTGTGCGAAAGACCTATATAGAAACTAGTGTGACACACACAAACACACACACACACACTAGCCGCTAGCCGGTGGAAGCGAACGGCACCCACTGGGGAAGGCCCTCCAATCCAACCGCTTCCGCGTCCGCAAAGTCAAATCAGGTGGTGAGGCATTGAAGCCCCACAGTACCATGGCACAAGCACTTTGAGTTTGATTGAATCAATAATAATTCAAGGCATGCCCAAACAGCAAGTCTGTCGCTCCTGTCCACGACACACCGGCAGGAATTTGCAGACCTGACAAAGCGGGACTCCTTCTGTAACCGCGCTGGAGCTTGTCCCTCCATCTCAAGAGTACGATATCGAGGGCTGCAATCCAACAGGTCATGGATGGCCTCGACCTTCACGTGGGCGCTCCCTACGACCACCCATTCTGGCACCCGCAACTTGGCACCACAAACAGTAGTCTTCCTCATTCGCTTCATTGTCGTTTGGCTTGGGCATTGGCACCGGGGACCAACGCAAACTGTTCCATGATCCACAGGCCAATCCTGCACCACCACAGGCACCCCCCACCCAAGAATAAAGCAATCAAGGTGGGATGCTGGGGTGGCACCCTCCAAACTCCAAACAATAACCACGTCCCGCCCCTCAACCATTTGCAAATCAACAAACCCAGTCCTTTAGCAAATCGCACCCATGAAAGCTCCAACCAAGCATCAACTCGTCCAAGTGTCGCAGCAAACAAGGGAAGGCGCGTCCCTCAGGAGCATATGCCCATGCTCTCCACCAGTGCTTGAGGTCATCTTTTGCGCAATACTGCCGGAGAAGGGCAGCAAGAAATACTAATCTCCTGAAAGGGCGCAAACACAACTACATTAGCCTGCAATCATGAGCTAGAAATGTTGCAACGCAAGAGAGAAACATTTTGTTGGGCCATGGAATCACAGGCCTGATCTTTCGCAGGTGGGCCTGCCTCTGGCGAAGAGACTGCAACAAGCGCTGTCCATGGGCCATTTGGATCCACGGCTCCACAGCAAGCTTTTGCACTAGCAATGTGTATGGGGACAGGACCAAGCGGGAAATGTCCTGCAGGGTTCTTCACACATCGCGCCACTTTATGAAATCGCAAGAAAAAAGTTAGCTTGGCTCACATGATGCTAGCTATCCTTGGAACCATCCTTCGACAGGTCTTCTTGCCCTGAACCCTGGCCTCAAAGATAAGCATGAAGACAATGAAGCTGCCCTCAGATAGTCTTCGCCCCATCTCTGTCAAGCTCTTTTTGGTTTGGGAGCCAAAGCCACGGTCCGCATATTCCAGCCTGACAAACATCCCTGCAAAGTATGTCTTATAATTGCGGTAGAGGTTCGCAGGAGCAGCAGCCAAAGATGCCAGCCTCAGAGTCTAGGTGTGGAAGCATTATAGTGCAGGCCCCTTGTTGCTGTACATGTTATAATATCATGATGGTGGAAGGCTTACGAGTCTGACAAAATACATGGACGTACAGAGGCCGCCAAGCCTCACCTAACTCTCCAAGAAGAAAACTGACGCAGCGGTGTGTGGCCATGGAAAACCAGTTCCGAAAGGAAACGATCGAAAGTCCGACGGCTGTCTGAAAACCTCATCATCCTGAAGCAGCTTTTCCGCCGTTACGAATCGGGAATTACAAAAAAACTGCCAACTCTGAAGCAAGCAACTTCCGTGTCCCTGACAGGGTGTCAACTGCCAGGGCACGCTCACCCAGCTCACCAGCTACTGACCGTAGCAGCACCTTGCCTGAGTTTACTCCGAACAATCTATTGCATTCGTTTGCCACGTCAAGCAGCTCTTGTATCATCGGAATTTTCTCGGCCGCCACCACTTGGGCGCGGTCTGATCTGTGAAAGAGGCCCCAAACCGCGATAGGCGTTTGCTTGCCCTTAACTCGATGCCAAAGAATCTCTGCCGACTGGGTTGATGAGTGCTTGGCGCGAGGGCCGCCTTTCGTAATAGCGCCGTCTCCGCCCACTGCCGCTAGCCGGCAACGCAGCTCTTCAAGCTGCAGCTCACAAGGGTGCCTCGAGAGGGCATCTAAAACAATTTCAGCTTGGTGAGCACCATCATGGCGTGCACCTACGGAAGGTGTGCCCAAGCACCTTGCTTCAAGACTTCCGGTCTCTGCACTCACAAATTGAACGCAGATTGCCACCAAAGATTCATGCTTGGAAAAAACAGCCCGGCCAAGACTTCCTGTGTCCCACGATAACGAAAAATGGCTCGCAATGCCAGTGCCTGGCAGCTTCTTGTGCAAGTCAGAAGCATCTAAAATGGCAAGAACAGTGGAGCCCAAGTGCTCTACCAGCCTACAGAACTGGGCAGTGTGATACCTCAGCTAGCGCACTTAAGGGGGGACAAGGAACAACCTCCAGAAGTGCTGTTGCTGGCGCCACCAAACAAGACAAGGCAAAAACTCACACACCATCGGAAAGGTCCGTTCCAGGCTGATACCAAGGGCCTTGAAACTGCAACCTTGTAATTGCAAGGAGTCTTGGCAATGAGAGTCTGCAGGACATGTTCGATGAGAACTGTGTTTGGGGCATGGCAACAGGTGTCTTCAACACAAGGCTACAACAAAGTCCAAGGTGACGCACCAAGAGCCATTCTAATTCCAATTTATTCCAACCAGGACACTTTGATCCAACCGATACGCCGTTCAACTCGTAGCGTTTGCAGGCGCGAAAATAGTTAACGTCTGGCAGGCCTGCAGCTGAATTGCCTGGTTGCACACGGGGGCGATGGCTTTTGGTGGCTTGTGGTGGCTGGGATGAAGCCATCAATGATGACCCCTGCTTACAAACATGGACTTGTTTGGAGCACGTTGGTTCACACTGGTCATGGCCGTTCTGTTTGCAAACATCCACACCAAAACAGTGTTTGTTTCTGCGGTACCATTTCTTGCCTAGTTGAAGTGCATCGTTACACACAAACAGCCCCACCCCAAACCTTTCAGCTGAACGGGTTAGTATAATCAAGCCGAAGCAACCCAGCACTTCACGCACTAACAGCCGCAAGATCTTTGACCTCTCCAGCTCAAGATCGACAGTGGGCTGATTGTCCTTCTCCTCCTGTATCGCAATCGCTCGTTCTGTCAGCAGAGGTTCCCACTGATTCTTCTGCACCTTCTGGAACATTGTCCGCAAAGTATTTTCTGGCACCCGCACTAGCCAGGAAGCCACACGAAAAGGCATACTAGACGAGCTGCATGCAGAAAACATGGGAAGGTGGGAGAGCAACCCTTGCAACGCAGGTCCTTTCAGGCTAAACCAATCCAAGGACGATACCTCTTGCCTTTTCTGCGAAAATTAAAACGGTCAATCCAAACATACTATTCCCTACCTGTTCTTTTTGATTCGGCGGGGTGCCAAACACATCCACTCCCAACATACTGCTCTCTTGTTTTTCTGCCGACGAAAACTGTTGCTTTTCAATGGGGGGGGGGTGGCGATCCTGTCCTGGAACCTTCTTCAAGTTCAGGACAAGGTTGCAGAGAAGAACCTGCGATTGTTCCGCGATAGGGGCCCACCTCCGACGAATCCAATTGCCGATGTTCTTGCCTGGAATCCATTCTCTGGGGCGGGCAGGCTCATCTGAGCCAACGCTTGCTTCTGCCAAGAACCCATCCTCCCCAAGCTCGCTGAGATCAGGAGGTTCCGCGTGAAGGTCTGACAACAAGAAACCACACGAAACCCCATCTTCTGACCCAGGCATAGCCACATCTTCAAAAGAATATTCATCCTCAAGAAACAAGCTGTCTTGCAGGTCAAAGCCACGGTCTACGTTTGTCTGGAAGCCTACTTGGTCGTCTTCGAC